TTTTTCAACAAGTGCATTTATTAAAGGTTTGCCCTCTGGCCTCTGTGCTATGAAACAAAACAATAACAAATGTTATAATTCAGCACTCTACAAACGATGGCAAACATATCATATGAATACGAGTTATCTCCTCTTGTTTCCAATTCTAACACTACTGACGGGAACGGTGGATGCATAGAAAGATTGGGTTATTCAACTTGCATTCTTATCGTGTGTGTTCGAGGTCCAATTTGCTTATTTTCCATCATCTGCAACTTGTTTTCTCTGCTGGTGTTACATCGCATACACGACATGCATGGTGTCACTAAGCTGCTGATGGTAGCCCTAACGATTACCGATGTTGGAGTGGGCTTCTTTGGTCTTCTCTCCGCAAGTCTCAAACTGAATTTTCATATTCAATCCCTTTCCATAATACACGTAGTTGTATTTTTTCAGCTGCTGGGATTGTGCATTCTAGTAATTATTACCGTGATCCGCTACATTGCAGTATCTCAACCTCTCAGACTGCAAACTCTAGTCACCAAAAGAAGAGCTTATATTGCCTTGACGTGTGCAACTTTTCTCTGTCTTTTTGCACTCACTTGCATATTCTTAGCTGAGTATTCTGAACAGCTGGATACTTTTCAAACAGCAATCATTTATTCTATTTTCGTATCAACCGTTTTGATTGTAATCGTTCTGTATGTGAAATTGCTTTTAATTGCAAGGCATCACGCACGGCGTATGGCAGCAACTGAGATCATTGCTGAAGATGCACAGGTTCAGCTGCATCGCTCAAATGTCAAATCTCTCAAAACATTTCTGATCATCACATGCACTGTCTGTGTCACTTGGCTACCCACACTCACACAATTGGGAGAAGTACATGCATTTATAGTAATTTTCATTGAAAGTCTGCGCTACAGCAATTCCTGGCTCAACACAGTTATCTATTGCTGGCGAAATGAAACTTTCAGGAAGGCTGCCAAAAAGCTTATTTGTCGAAAAGGCAGACAGTGACGCTCAACATACATGTACATAAAACAAATAAGGATCAAATAATCAAAGTCAAAGCAGTGAATTCCAGCCAGAAGGCGGCCAGTATATCTCATTTCTGATATATTGGCGCCATGCACAAGTAAATATATCCCTTCAACAGTACGAAACGGAACATTAAGGAAGACCATTAGGAGAAACACTTTTAATAAACGCATTGCCGACGACACCTGACGCTCACTAAAAGTCGCTATGGCTTTGTTTAGTTTTCTTGCTACGGCACATAGACAAGTGTAACTTGCACGGTTATCAAGTCTCAGTGTGTATTGTACTTGGTGTTAAAAATACCCACTTGGGGAGACACTGGAAGAGCAATTCTAACAGCACAGCTCTTGAAACCACTTGATGATCTGGTACAATAATTGACAGGTACCGACACTTAATTTATTGGATGTCAAGTTGGAAGCCTTGGATTCATCTGGAGTGAAATCCTCGGATGAAATTTACAGATGCACCAAACATAAATACATGTACATAATACTGGTACGATTGTTGATATCTGCAGTATCACACCAGTTCAACCGGAATCAAGAAGCTACGTATCAAGTGAATGCAGGGACAATTTGCAGTCAAGTGTTAGAACCGAATGATCCAACATAACCCCGCAATTTTGCTAGGAACCTTCCTAAGTTTCTCCAAAGTCCACCACCGTCCAGAAGATTTTTCTTACATTTATCTGGGACCAAGAGCTGTCTTTCTATTATTGCATGGCAAGCTCAATTCTACCTGATGCAGCCAAAATTTACATGAGAACACTTTGGGCAAAAAAAAAAAAAAAAACATGTTTAGCGTCCTGCCTCTTTGACAAAAAGGAAGGAGGAGGCCCTTTTTTTTTTTTTTTTTTTTCAAAATGGCCGCCCGACACATTTTTCAAGACAACGCGGCTGGGCTATTTTTCAAGATGGTTACCAGCTTTTTTCAAAATGGCCGCAACTTGGACTCATTGACTATTTCCACAGCTTTATACACGGTATAAAAGTCTAAAAGTACGATTTCTTTCGTCAGAGATCGTTAAAATTTATCAATTTTTATCTTTACAAAAAAAAAAAAATAAAAAAAAAAGGAGGCGGCCTCTAAAAAGGAAGCAGGCGGGGACGCTAAACATGTTTTTTTTTTTTTTACTTCGCCTTGTATATGAACAGCTCAGACTGCCAGAAACATTGTTTAAAACAGTTAATCAAAAAATGATTGAATTGCGATAGGTTCATGATGCTTGTTATGACGCTGACTGCGTGTCAACGTGTGCTCGTCCCTCTAATCACGCCAAAATGCATTTGAGGATTCCTTATTTGTAATATAGCCGATGCAGCCAAAATGTCCACTACGAACACTTTGTACGTAAACAGCTCTGACTGTCAGGAATATTATCAAAAGAAATTCATAAAAAGTGATTAAATTACGATGTGTGCATGTTGCTTGTTAAGACGCTGACTGCAAGTCAACAATGAGCTCGTTCCTCTAATCAGGCAACATCATATTTTACGATCCGGTTTTTTTTTACTACGGCACATAAACGAGTGTATCTGTACACGATAATCACTTCTCAGTGATATCACTTCTCAGTGGGGAAGACACCACAAGAGCAATTCCTGCAGCACAGCTCTGGAAACCACTGGTACAATTCAAATGGATTAACACTGAAGTATAGTGGATGCCAAGTTGGAAGTCTTGGATGTGTCTGGAGTGAAAGCATTGTATAAAATTGATAAATGCGCCACACTCTTTATTGTTATACCAGCACGTGTGTTGATACCTGCAATATACACCAATAATGCACCAATTCATCAACCAGATTTAAGAAACTACGTATCATCGAGTGAATGCAGGAACAATTTGTGGTCAAGTATTACAACTGCTGCTTTATCATCACCTGACTTTTTGCTAAGAACCTCCCTAAGTTCCCCAAGGTCTGCAACTGTCTGGGAGTTTGAGTAAAAACAACACCTCAAAAGGTTGCCCTGGTGGGACTTGAACCCACGACCTCCTGCTTTCTTATGCGCTGTGAACACTTACAACTATGTCAGGACTTGATGGAATTCAATGACACATGTGCAAGAGTTAAAAAGTCCGCAGCATTGAATACTTAGCTCTTCTACTGGTTTCTAAGGAACAAAATCCAGCTTTTCTTGAATATTTATCTGGGACAAGAGCTGTCTTTCTCTATGAAGATTGGTCAAATACCCGGAAAGCTCAATTATACCTCCTCATAGAATATCACAGCCTCTTGAAATGGAAAACGTATCAAAACTGTGTGGAAATTCAACAAATACAAGCGATATCAACGACAATAATGCCTGTTTCCACTTACAGTTAGACACAAGGAGCTGTATAATATACGTCTGCGTTCTTTGTGTTATCAGTGCATTTTGCCTCATTTGCAACTTGTTTTCTTTGTTGGTGTTACATCGCATACATGACATGCATGACGTCACTAAGCTGCTGGTGGTAGCCCTAACGATTACCGATGTTGGAGTGGGCTTCTTTGGTCTTCTCTCTACAAGTCTCACAATGCACATTTATATAAAGGAACTTGAAAGCCTAGTCAGTTATTTTCAGCTGCTGGGGTTGTGCATTCTGGCAATGATTACTGTAGTCCGCTACATTGCAGTGTCACAACCTCTCAAGCTGGAAACTCTAGTCACCAAAAGACGAGGTTATATTGCCTTGACATGTGCAACTTTACTCTGTCTTGTTGCACTCTTTTTCACAATGTTAACACAGGATGTGAAACAGCTGAATGCTTTTGGCCTAGCACTCATTTATGTTCTGGTAATCTCACTTCTTTTGAGTGTTATTGTCCTGTATGTAAAATTGCTTTTGATTGCCAGGCATCAGGCACGGCGTATAGCAGCAGCTGAGATCAATGCTGAAGATGCACATGTTCAGCTGCATCGCTCAAATGTCAAATCTCTCAAAACGTTTCTGATCATCACATGCACTGTCTGTGTCACGTGGCTACCCACACTCACACCTTTGAAAATGGTCAATCCCTCTACCATCATATTGTTAGAAGGCTTGCGCTACAGCAATTCCTGGCTCAACACAGTCATATATTGCTGGCGAAACAAAACTTTCAGAGAGGTTGCCAAAAAGATCATTTGTCGGAAAGGCAGACAGTGATGCTCAACATACATAAAGTAAACATGAAACAACTTCTTTGAAAATCCAGGGCCAAGGACTGCTTTGTTGTTTGCAGTAAGCGGTTGTTTGGTCTTTTTGGGGTTCAAAATGTCACATAATTTTGAGTTTCTGTGAGACTTTAATGCCAACTGTATGGAATGCCTATGGCATTATAAAACAATGATGTATAAAATGTGTGTATAGATAGTTAAGCAATTAACAATGGTTTCGCTTCTCTTTTCTTCAAGGATTCAATCTCTGTGCAATTATCTGGACAGGTTGCAGACAAGATTGTCTGCAATTTCACAATAGGCCGATTGCATTGGGTATTGGTTGCAGGATTCTTTCCTACAATCTTCCTGAGATAAATTATCAGCAATGTTTACAAACTGTGGACTTATTGTATAGGAAGATTTCGGGAGGTATATGCACCAGAAACCTGTACTTAACACTTGATACAATATGGGCCTATTGCAGATAAAATTTGTCCATTATCAATTCCAGATATTTTATGAAATGACTATTTACAAAAAAAAATATATGTAGGCCTAAATAGATACTCGAAGAATGGTACAATTCTTCTCAAATAAATGTCAAAAGTCTTGTTTTTCTGCAATTAACGTAATTTTGAATTGATGTGTGTAGGACAAAAGTAGAATATAAACTTTGCTGAAAGTATTAAAGTATGAGAATGCCATGAGTAGGTATCGTTGTATTTAACAACTATCACTCAAAAACTACATGAATAGGTTTGCCATATATAGTAATGAAAATATCTTCACGGAAAATAATTAGAGGCATAATTATCATTGTTTCTGGTGGCTCATTGTCTAATTAAAGAGTCATTTAATGAACGTTTACTGTTTATTTGAAACAGAGTGAAAGGGCAGCATATATCTGCAAAAGTTTCGTTACAAGTTCATGTTTGTATTGTTCAAGTCATCACTCAGCTTTAATGTTTGAAACAAAACGAGCCAATTTTGGGTAGTTGCAGTTTTCACCCTTACTTGGGTAAAATTAACCCAGGCAAATTTTCAGTGTACTTGCCTGCGTAATCGCAATCGCACAGCACAGAATCTGTGCTAAAATCAACAATACACAGTATTGCTCACACAAACACGTGCCTAAACTCAAGCAAGTCTAAAAGCCAGGTGTCAGTGTGTCAGCCAGTCTTGGGTCAAAACGCGGTGTATTTTGGATACACGATCATCTGCCGCGAGAGGGCGTTCGAATCACCGTGAACCACGAACCGCTATGCAAAACAGTAAATATATTGCCAAGGATTTATCACAAATTGCCCCACTGATTCGTGCCCTCAAAACAAATTCTCTAGTAAAAACAAAAAAAATTGAATTACGCTTCAAGATCGAATAGCTAGGGGTTTTGTGAACACCCATTCTACTGTTGCCCCTACCAAAAATGAAGGACCTGTAAGGCTTCTGAGGAAGGGTCGAGATGGACAAAGGGAGAGGAAAGGAACATAATAACTTTGGTGTCGTCGGCCCAGATCACACATAAAAATCGATACAGCGCGGTCTTCCTAAGCAGGTCCAAACTCTTCGTACCGGGTCCAAGCCTATAAATGAAACGTTTGCGTGGATAGCGATCGTATCGGATCATTCTTGCCCCAGCAAGCAAAAGACGACCAGCTGACTGGCTTTCGAACATGACTTGAAGCTTGTCGTTCCAAACGTAATAGTGAAAACGACAAGAACGAACCACGGCGAACTCATTGAGGGCAAGCCGAACACAGGCAAAATCGTAATCTAGATCATCTCCGATTGGGATCGTAGAGACCGTTGAGCAGTCTCCCGATCCAATATTCCAGAGAGTCAGGCTTTCGCTTTCCCTTTCCTTAGACAAAAGCAGCGCAAAATGCCTGGAGTTAAGTTGACACTTCGACTGTCTGTTTCCATCCAGGTGTTGGCACTCAAAGTTTCGCAGACACTCTCCCTTGTTCACATCCCATAGTTTCACGTTTTCTGCAACGCTGGCTGCCATATCGCCACACAGCGCCAGATCCTTGATGTGTGTTTCGTGGCCACTCAGTATGTGACGCAGTGTTCCAGCGATGCTGCTCCAGACGCTAAACTCCCTTAAATCACCCGTTTCAGAAGGCTGTCCGATCAGTGTTTTGCCGTGCAACCGATAGCTTTCTTGCACTGGCCTCGACTCATACTCAAACGATGCCAACCAGGCTGCAGTCTTACAGTCAAAGGTCCTGACGAAATATCTCGTAGGATGTTCGTAGCAACCGATGGTTAAGCCTATCCCACAAGAAACAAGCACCCTCTGGCAATATGAGTGATCAGAGCAAGATGCCGCCTGATGTTTGAAAACGAGCACCTTTGCTGCCTTCGCCAGCTTCAGATTCCATATCTGAATGCGACGGGTGTCGGCTTTAACGGCGAAGTCTCCATCGCACTCGATTGATTCCACATCAGCAGACTTAACAGGACAACTTATCATGTGAGAATGAGCTTGAGCCCAATTGATCTCCAAAACCATTGCCTTCAGGAAGACTGCCTTCCAATAGCAGGTTGGTTCCAATGTCTGGGCGTTCTTTGCCGTCAAGACATGGCTGTGATCTAAGAAACCCTTGTCTGGGTTCAGGTCAACAACTGTGCCGTAACGCTCCCAGCCACGGGCCAGGCATGAAGGTCGCCACAGCCAGTCCCGATTGGTTCTCTCCCTCCAACCTCTGCTGCACTAGAGCCAAACGGCAAAGGTCAGCCTCCGAGAGATAGGATAGAATAACGTCCGTCACATCAACGAGAAGACCAAGCAAGGCGTCTGCAGGATAGACGACGTCTTCATCTTCTGACCGTTCTTGTTCTTCCTTGGTATCACCATTGGAACACTGACCAAAGCACACGCCCATATTTTATCCTAAAGAATGAACAAAAACAAAATTGCATGTATTGTAATAAGTTGAACAGATTGCGAGCTCGCATATTGTTTGGTCTGATCTAATGAGCAAGCTTAGTGTCCACAATTGCATGGTTCAACCGTTTGAAAATCATGCTATCAACTTTGAAAATCGCCACAAATACATTAAAATGCTCACATAACAAAAAAACCGGCACGCTCCATGGAATATAGGCAGAAAATACATTCAGGAAAACAAATATAAACGTCTGGTTCTCAAGCGAACTTCAGCTATTTTGTCTCATAAAGACATCAACGAGTAATGGTCCGTTTAGTTAATAACAAAACTCTGTACTAATGACAAAGCACTTTGTTTACACGTGTGCTTTCTTATGGGAGCCTGTTGTGGACGACGGTTTCGTAGCCCCATAAAAAAGCACACAAGTAACCAAATGTGACGTCATCAGTACAGAGGCTATTCAACATCAATGTGATACTTGTCAGCAAATTTGTCATTATATTTGTTTCTCTCAAAACTGGTCCTTTTAAACGCCACACACCAACTTAAAAGACATCACAAAACTTTTTCCAAACCATGGTACGTTGCCCTTTAAATACATCCACACACAAACAAACAGAGTCCTGTGTGTATAGGCCTGTACCATACAGAATGGGTTAATACTGTGCCAGGATGACGTATATTATGCACTGAAGGAAATGGCCTAATACAATGTATGAGGAAGTACCAACCATTTCCCCCGCTCAGTACATGTATACACAATAACTTCCAGAATATCCCTTGTGGTAAGATCCGACCAGCATTCAATTATAAAGTTACTTCAGATAAAATCAGTAGTGTTAGGCCGGTTCTGTTTTGGTAGACCGTTTATTATCATCGGAGGGCAGACTATGAAAGAAATGGGTGCCGAGCTCCGTCCTTTCATTTTATGCCAACATTCTATACTGCATTCATTGCCCGACGATGGTTCACGGCCATTCTTACGTCTTTGGTTCTGCTTCAACAAGAAGAGAAATTCTCACCTATTCTTGTCCAAGCTCACCGAGCGTAAGACTATGATGGAAGCACCAATCCCTGCTGTTGGATGTTGTACGTATCTGCTATAAACCAACACTGCTTCAGCCTAGACATATTATAACTGCAATGATCTGACCGTGTTCATCCAGGTGGAAAACTAGCTTCCTGTATTTCCTGGTTCGACAAGTCATGGATTGACATCGTGTACTTGGTGTTCAACGCGTATTACGTATTTTAACGTACGGTCGATTGTCACGTCCACTCCACTTTATAAACGATTCCCCTTAACCCATATGTAATTTATGATACTGCACATTGGCTGATATTAACTTTCGCAACATTATTTTAAAGTTTCATTTTTTTCTCTCTCGTGTTTTCGGATCTCACGCCGTGACGAATTGATTGGTTTTACACCAGATATGGACACCGCATACGTACATGCTGAATTTGAAGCACAACCAGAAGCCAGACTATTCCTAATATGTATACATGTGCAAGCCTTTTGAACATGCGAATGATCCACCACGTACCGGGCTGCTGGCCACCTGTCCCCATAATTTGAAGTCCGAAGGACACTGGGGACTAATCCCTTTCATTGAAGCAGTTTAGTAGATTTAGTTAAATCTACTTAAAAATAAATGTTCTTTTTGAGCCAAAGTAATGTATAAACTACGTCAATAAATGAAGATTAAGCGCAATTTCATCGGGTTTATGGACGCGCGGAAACCTCAAGAACGTTTGGAGAAGATCCATGATTATGTTGCTTACGATTACATCACACGCTGAACGCGTCATTGGTGGAAAGTTTTCACACTACATACTGAGACAGCACGCAGTAAGTTGGCGTCGCGTCATTCTCGATGCTACCACTGGCGGGGAAAAAAGGCAAAATGTTTGCCAATGAAACTTAATTTAACCCACCACTTCCGCATCAGCCACCTTCCCCCTCTTCTCTCTCTCTCTTTTACTGGGTTCAAAGGCTCCGCTTTCTTGTACTTTTATGTCGGGTTTCCCCACACAAACACTGGTTCTATCTCTCGATCAACGCAATTATCTTAGCTTATTCCTGGAAATGTTCTGTGATTCAAACAAACAGTTTTATATTAATACCGGAGACTATCTACCAACAATTAGGTATTCAATGCGCTGGAAATTATGTCTATTTTTTTTAAAGACAGGTAAATTAAGTTAATGAGAAATATGAGACCCATTATGTAGCACCTTTGTAAAGGGTATACAAGGTGTTGTGGCGCACATTGCAGCCACTGCCAGAAACACAGGGGCAAACCCCTATATTGTGTTCTGAATTGTTGACAAGGTTATATTTCAACATGTAATATTTATATTTTGATTTTTCTGTTACTTCAAAGGAAGGTTTTAATTGGTTGTATTCTAAAAGGGGATTATATGTATGTACTTAGTGAAAGCCCAAACGTCTTGAACCTGAGTGGGAAGTGGTATGGTGTTGACATTTTATAGTAATATATGCTTTACTTTAAAAAATGTAATATTGCCAAGGAAACAAAATTCAATCTTTCAACTGAACATTTTCCTGCAATGCATGTATTAATCTGCATATACATGTGTAAAGCATTTTAAATAAAAAAATACGGACTCCTGAAACGCAAAATCGAGATTGGTTGTTTTTGACACTGGCACTGGCCTGGCCTATACCAAAACAAACATGACATACTGTGGTAAATAAGAACATTCTTTATGTTTAAATTACTTTATTTTATTATACAAGCGCAACCTTGTCGGTTGTAAGATTAATAACAAAGGCTTATATTAACCACTTATAAAGTACATGTATATAAACTGAGCTCAAATGCATTTACCCAATCAACGCATAAAACGTACATAAATACAGCCTGGTCAATTTGCACGGTTTTATGGGGGCAATGTGGGGAAAATTGTACAGGAAAATGGGCACACCGTAAAGCTTCCGAGGTATTTTGGAAAATCTGTGCTATAATACACCAGTGTGTATGTTCTCGTACTCGTCGTATACACACTCTGTTGGTTTGCATGAAAATGTACTCGTACCGTACCGGTACTCGTGTGACGACAAAGTACTCGTACTTGTACTCATGACAATGTACTTGTACTCTCGCAAAATGTTCTCCCGCAACAATTTGCTACATGCAGAAAAAAGAACCAGTTTTCTACTATTTGAGATGCTTCTGCATTATTTTGTTTAATGCCTAGTTTGACTGCAAAAAGCCCTTGAATACGTGACACATTGAAATGTGCTTGTACTCATTCTTGTATACTACTCGTACTCGAGTACATTGTTGGGTACTCGTAGAAAAAAATCCTTGTACTCGTACTCACGGTATATACTTCTGACAAAGTACTCGTACTCATGGCAAAGTATTATGTGCTCTATATATACTCATGAAAAATGTACTCGACTTCCACACTGTTTAATACGGTACCACAACGAAGAATAAGTTAAATGTTCGTATTGTTAACAACCAATGACACAAAACGACAGGGTTATTTTTCACCGAGTAAACCGTGCAATTGGGTCCCAGCAAATGCTGAAGATTTGAAAACCATACAAACACGTTATGTTGATCATAGGGTGCTGCATGCCATTTGGTATTCAATTTTTCGGTTGCATAAAATAGTACGCCATTAAGTAGCGCAATCAGATTGGTTACAGTTAATACATACACGATAGTACAGATACTATTTACAGAAACACGTTCCTCCTCAAAAAGTAGAGGGAACCGACATAAAGGCCCGAGTTTGGCCTTACCAACGTAAGAGCATAATTTTTGGTACATATTACATCCAAAAATCCATAGGCCTAGACATGTACACGAAATCTCTCAAAGTTGCTTGACAAGGGATAGCCGTTCGTGTTTATACAATCCATACTTGGGATCGGTGGAGCGGGGGTTAAGGAGCACGACTGGTTTACAAAAAAAAAACGCAACACGACTGAGCCTCTCACAATGTTTTAGTATAATCAAAGCTCTAGCTGTCTTTTAGCACAGATATTGGACCATGGTATGCCCTGTCAGATCAGAGAGCGCGGGGAGAAGAATATTTCTATTGTGGAGAAAATTTATATCAAGTTGTGGGGACTTTTTAATGTCCTCACAGCGTTTTTTTGTCAGGTCCTCACAAACCTATCGCGGACCTGGTGTGCGTAGCCCATAATATGATGTATATGTGTCTTTTGGTTTTCAGCAAATTATTTGTTGGGGAAATCGCTTCTGTCCACCCAGTTTATTGACAACACGAGTTTAATGGTACATTCATGTTCTTCACAACAAAATGGCAGGCGCTCATTCCCGATGAAGGACGTTCGACGTTCGTCTAAAAAAAAAATGCGGAATCGATTGGAAGACCGGGGGAAAAGTAAACTTATGCAACCTTTAACCCTAAAGGGGCCGGGTTATTTTGACCATCTCTCAGCCGGGGGGGGGGGGCGGATTCTGCCCCGCCCCCCTAAGATCTCGGCCATCGAGTGACGAAAAATTTTGAAACTCACCACATTCATAGAGCAACTCTTCCTAAACATGCCCAAGAAATTTCATGGCTATAGGTCAATGGGTTTTGGAATTATGGCTAATTAATTATTCATATGTATGAATGCCAATTCTGCTCGGTGTACACGACGTATATGCGAAAATTCAGTTTTCACGGCGCGTAGCGCCGGAAAAATTTTCGCTACGTGCCAACCCGTGGTCCGATTTTTATGTTTTTGGTATCAAAAGATGCGCAAAGCTCGAGGCTAAAAAGTCATAACAGCTCGGGTCGCGAAAATGTTTTTTTAGAAGCTATCGCGGAAAATGTTGAGGGGGGGGGGGCGGATTCCGCCCCCCGGCCCCTTTAGGGTTAAGATGCATTGTATCTTAACTACCAGTACCACTTAAATAGAAAGGCACATTATGCATATTATCATATGATCTGTCATGCCTTCACGATCATTATCTTGCCTAAAAAAGAAGAGGTGCCGAAAGTAAATACAATTCGGACCACAGACCATTCAGTATACAGAAAGTCACGTAAGCTCATTAAGTTCAGTTCTGACACGGTTGGATTCGTCCGTAACAATAATTAACGACATATCAAACAATATCAAGTTTCTACACTGAGCTAGGCCTATGTGTATTTTTGAAACAATTATTATTATTATTTACAACTTCCTACTTGCGATTTACAGTATTATAATAAATAATATTGACAGTAAACGTTTGGGTTTCAAGTATTTCAGATTTCAGCTGTATCGGCACAAGATAATGCCTATACTTTGGGTAGGGTGTGACAAAAACAAATTGGTGCAACATTTTACAGGATTCAGACATTACATACTGTGGACTGTAACGTTACTCAACCATTACGAAAACTACAATAATTTCAACTTTCAGACAAGAAATATAAATGTAGTGTTTTGAGGAACTAATATTTTATGCTGAGTTTTTAAGGACATTTGGAAGGCATTTTACATTCATTTTATTTGCACATTTTGCTGGTATTAACTACATCAAACATAACATACAGCATTCAGTTTCTTTACAAAAAGGCTGGTTTGATAGTCAACAGAGAAATTTTCTGTTGTTAAAAGTCCGTTTGCTTTGAGGAAGACTCAGATTTTAAGTACAAATAGTCATAGCAATTGCGCTGTCAGTAATTAGAACATTACACCCGTAACATTTTTTCTCTCTCAGGTCGGGCCAAATGTGGACATGGTCGTCGATCCGTTACTTAGTCGGACGTCGGTAAAATCGTTGTCCATGACAACGGTGCCGCTGATAAACTTCTGTCCTCCCATGGACACCACGCAGGGGTCGTGGTCCTCGGTATGGGCCGGGGCGTACTGCGCGTACACCGGGTTGGCGAAGTTCGCCGTCATGTTACCGCTACGGATGAAATCCCCTCGACGTCGCCTCCTGTGAGGACAACAAAACACAACATGAAAACTGAGAATTGTATCGAGTTACAGCCACCAGATATAGATCCTGAAAGTTGACCCCTGGTGGCGCGCTTCCGGACCCCTCGAATAGGAATATTAGCGTGCAGAAGTCCTAGTTTTCAATATTATTTTGATACATTGATTTCTTAAAGAAAATCACCCACGGAAGAGGCCTTTGTTAAATTGTTACTAACATCTCAATTTATGGAAACTAAAAAACCGCATGACGAGAAAGAGAAATATCGAGCCAAAATTGACCTCTCAATTCACTTCCGAAAATCTAAAATACATGTGGACTAGTGAAACTCGGAGCACTCGTAATAAAGATGAAAATTTATGAAATCATTTTGTGGCGGTCATTCGGTAAAAACCGAAACTTAAATAGGAGACTAAAATCTTTTTTTTTTGGAAACACAAATTTTTTTTATAGAAACTTGGACTAATTCTCACTTACAAACAAATATAAAATGACCTGTGATGAGAACTGTATTCAAGCATGCCCAACTAAATCTATAGAATCCATCCTCTATGGCCTTGTTTCCCGATGTAACTTATCCCAAATCCACAAGCAGTAAAAGACTCAACATCTCCATATTTTGGTTCTTACTTTTCCTTCCAAAATTCTTCAAAATCTGCGAGGAGTTTTTCTTCTTCTTCAAAACCCAGAGTTTTTTGTACAAAGAATGTGCCATCCGTTTCTTGCACGAGGGAGAATATTTGAGGAAGTTCAGAAAGGCTCTGATGACCAAAATGTGCATTGGGAAGATACAAGTTTCACTTGAACACTGCAGTTCGTATTCTACCCATTCATGTCCTCATACTTTGCAAGCAGTAAAAAAATACAGGCTCACATCATGCTTCTAACTAACCGTGCACTACATCAACACTATGTTCTCAAAATCGCCTACAATCCAACATTAGGGCCCAACTTTATGGGTCTATCTGCTCATTAGAGTATACTGCTTAGCATATTGCTAAGGGGCAATCAGATGCGAACCAGTCAAAAGCAATACACATCCACAGATTTTTGGCTGGTAACCATTAGCTTTGCTAAACAAATGTCTTTCAGTGCTCGATCAGCATCTGGTTCAATAATTCATAGCCGGTGTCTCGGGATGTACAGCCAGACTATTATATTGTACCGGTACATCGAAATGATGTCCCATTCCAAAGAATACGGCAATTGGTTAATTGCACCCTGTTGGATTTTGGAAGAGTCAGGAACGTCCTAGCATACATTTTTGAAGAGCAAGGAGTTAGGGTTAGGGACTTATGAAGCTCTCACTACTAAGTTTTTTTTTTGGCAAATAGTTTTTCTTTGAGCTTGGTTCCATAAATTACACTCCTCTTATATTGACAGAGCAGATAACCAACATATCTTTAAATTGAAAACTTGATTTCTTGATGAGACCACGGTCTTTAATTTTCATAAAAATTTTAAGTTTTGGCAATGGACTCAAGCACGAACAGTATTTTATTCTGAATGAGCACAATTAAAGTTATAGCATCTTCGCGTGGTCTCCCCCAACTCTCCCCTTGTAACCGTTGAGGGGGGTACTTGTGTACCTTTGAGTCCATAAGAATTAACATCAGAGTGTTAAACTGGAGCTTATTTCATGCTTTTATTTGCTGTGCTGAAATGAAAACAGTTGAGTGTGTAAATAGCAGAACGACACTTAGCTCTGAACTATCCTATGTTGCTAAAACACACAGGGCACTACATCTACCGAAAATAAATCCATGCATCTTGAGTAGTTAATTGCTGTGCTATGCATCTACATTGTACTTAAGACTAGCAGAAGCCACCTCGTTAAACATCCGGGATAAATTGCTGGCAAGTTTATCCGCAATAGGCCAGTTGTGTCTATTATTAGTTGTAAGATTGTGAACAACTTCCCTGTAGTTTTATCAAAATGAACTCATGGGTTAGATCCACAGATGTGTGTACGGCAAGCGTCTGTGATATTTGTGCAGATTATTCAAAACAACACTTGACCTCCAGATTGTGACCATTCAGCGGCCGCCTTCTATCGTGTTTTCAGTAACCGATGTTGCATGAGACTAACCTGGCAAATATTGGCCAATCAACAGCTTTGGCCGAATTTCTGCTCTACATGATGTCATAACTGACGCTGGCGCGCGGGGTCGCTTTAAATTTGCATGCACGGATGATGTCGATGTTGTAGTGTGCAATGTCGGATCCTCAGACTATTTATCGGTATGCAAACATTGCTACAAAACTTAATTGAAGGAAGGATACAGGGAAGTTGCTCAGAAATGTGTGACTAATGTTCAATAAAATAGACCTGTAGCGGATAAACTTACTTATTGGGATACTTAACGAAATGACTCCTAATGTTAGAGGGGCCGGCGTAGGCAGTTCACCCGGCTAAACTACGAGGCATTCTCATCAAACCAATGAGTGACATAAACGAACCATTCATCAAGATCAGGTTCATCGAGACCAGGCTCAACAGAATTCGTGGACAACAATGAAAGTCCAAATCGCTCCTGAAAATACGATGACCTGAAGAAGTGGCATTAGGTTTGCTCATTATTGGGGAATAATGTACCACGTGGAAAATAAAGCTGAAAAAAATTCTGGCATCATTTGCAATTCAGAGAAAAACAAAACAAAATATAGTGCAAATAACAGTCCATACCAACAAAATTAACAAACAAAACTGAAAACAACCCATTACCTCATCTGCAAACAGACTTATGCAAACCACAATTTACAGCACAAGAGGGTTACAAGTACATGTACACAAAAGGTCAAACAAAACTTGGGAATCAGCAATAAAAGAAAAGTTCTTGACACATCAAAAAGTCATACAATTGATCTCGGCAACGCTTACTTGTAAAGACTTCTCGCAACCAGCAGCAGTATCAACACAAGCAGGAATAAGACGACGATTGGAATGATGTACCAATGCAGAGACAACCACGACTGGAATACAAATTATAAAGTGCAAATCTGTCAATTTTTTTTCCAAAAAAATCAAACTTTATCCCAGCCTAAAAAATTTCAAAATTGAACTGACTATTTAAATTTTCGGTATTTCAATAAATTTCTGAATTGTGTGAGAGAATTGCGTACTTCTTTCCCAACTACTTTGGAGGGTCTTTCTTGCACAATATCCTGTTGTCCAATTTTTGTAACTTATTGTGTATACTGAGGAGCTCTCTATAAAGTTATTTAAAATATTCCTTCCAAAATGGCTCAATTCAAATGAAAAAGCATCCAATATCTTTCGCCATGTTAAGATTTAAAAAAGTAATTTGAATTGGAAGAGGCAACAGACTAAATTGTAGCAACAATATTAGTGTAAGCCCCTTACATTTGACTGCAGTGGCGGCGCCAGACTCTAAAAACAAATGGAGGGTTGGGGGGGGGGGGGGCGGGGAGAGGGGGGTAATTGGAGGGTAAGGAAATGATTTTGGGAGGCAGTTAAATTAATATCCAAAATCTAAAAAAGGATGTGTGGCATGATTTGTCGAACAATGTAGCAATGTTTATAATGCTTTCATTGGCCCAAAGTGTGTCCACCGAACCGAGGATTCACTCTCTATCTTCAACTTGATATGAATGTTAACAGAGAAGAATATAAACATAATTAACCTATTTGTAGATAAATTGTTGGGGGAAAACTGGGGGGGGGGGGGGGGGGGCAAGGAGAGGCAAGGAAGGAAACAACTGGGGGGGGGGGGAGGGGGTTCCCCGATGCCCCCAGTAGCGCTGCTAATGTTTGACTGATAAAATGCACCGTTTATCAGTTTACTTTTTGGAATAAATAATCATGTATATTATAAGGGCGTTTAATCATGTATTATATAAGTGAAGACAACATTTTGCCTTACGACAAAAGCTAAATAGAGGTGTTCTCAGTCCCTATGTAGTTTTTTACAAAGGAGTGGCTGGAAACCAGACTAGTCCACAAATGTTGACAATTGATATCTCACTGGTTCTAGTCTACACAAAAGAAACTTCCCATATTAATAGCAGTGTTCCAAATTACGATGAGCAATGATAAACTCAAAGACAAGCGCCCATTACAAACCTTGCTGTCTTTGTTGCTGCGATCCGATTTACTCTTTTCTGCGACCGACAGTGGTTTCTCCTTGAAAACCTTATAGGGTGAGAGGAGAAGTTCCACGTCTTGGGAGGAAGCACTCTGGAAGACGTCCTGGAGTTGTTGTGATGGTTGGAGAGTGCCGTTGAAAGTTGCATAGAACCTCACGGTGGTATATGGAGCACTGTGGGGGGGGGGGGGATTTACAGTATAAGTTAGGTTATAGCAGTGTTGTAATCCGAGGACCAACGTCATGGTGCTGCCTAATAGTTTAGCAGAAAAGTTTTGTTGACAAGGCATGCTATACTTGAACATTTTAACAGATTAGGGGTCATTCTATAAGATTAGGGTCCAAAGTGTGGCACTCAGGTATCATTAAGAATGACTTCAAACAATTGATTTGCTGGGTAGGTAGTTTGCTATTCATAACCACTCTTGGAAGACAACTGCATTAAGGATGCTTAATAACAACTAACCTTATGAAGTTTATAGCAATCGCGCTAGTGTGTGCGTTGTGTCAACGCTTGCGTGCAGCCATTCATGCCTTCGCCGAATTAAAAACGAACTACTAATGGAATTTTAGACGCATCTTTGAAAATGACCTTCTTTAATTGTTTTTCTTCAAATTAACAGCATGCCAGAAAAAACAATTTCAGCTTAGTGCCATTACTATCTTTAAACCAAGTATGCTTTTCAATAATAATTTTGTCAGTTACTTTTTGGATAGCTGCAAATTATATATTCTACCTTTAAGCTCCAGCCAATCACAGCCATGATTGAGCAACCAAAGTCCAGCATCATTGGACAGCTGTTCATGTGCGAAGTGGGAGGGGCGATAATGGATCGGTCTGTTTCAAGTGCAACACTTGTACACACGTTTCTTTGGAAACTTTTGGAAGATTTGATTTTGGAAGGACCTACTTTGAAAGCAAGGAGTTTGCTTCTTCCATGGAGATGACGGTGACCTCGACGGGCCCAACGGGGTCACTGCCTTTCATTCTGACCTCAATGACCCGCTGCAGACGATGAGCTATAGAGGGCGTGTGCGTCAGGTGTCCGTTGAGTTGAAGAGTAAACAACACCTTCGCTTCATCAACTAATACGTCATAAAAAGAAGCAGAAATATTAAAACTGGCAAATCACAAAAATAATGATTTTGGAACATTTAAAGTCTTTACAAGAAACTTGGTTTGAGACACTAATTGGATTAGCTTGAAACAAACTCCAGGTAAGTCAATTTAAGGTCTAGTCTACTACCCTTTCAGAATTAATTAGCAGCTGAATTTTTAATATTGATTGAGTGATGACGTTATTCAGGCATAGTTGTGTCAAGGGCGGATCCAGAACACAATTTTTTTTGGGGGGGAGGGGGGCAAAAACAAAATTTGGTTCCCAAAAAGTGGGTCAAAAAATTGAATGGATTCTAGATGCTCTGTGGTGAAATCTGAGGCAATTTCTGACCACTTTAACCAATTTTTTTTAGGAAAAATGGTGGTGCACTCATTGCCTGCCTTTATTGGCAAATAAAAAAATAAAAAATAAATAAATAAATACAAAAAATTGGGTTCTTTTGGAGGGGAGGGGGGGGGGGGGCATGGCCCCCTTTGGCCCCCCTGGATCCGCCCTTGAGTCTTGTGTATTTACGGGTAGTATGGGAACAAGGTGCCCTATTGAAGTCAAACACGGGTACCCGCGTACCCGTAAAAGAAACCCAACCCCAAAATTCAAATTCTGCAAGTTGTCTGAAGAGCTTTACGGTGTAAACTGCAACGTTGGCGAGGGTCATCTGTCTCGCGTTAACATGCACATAAACGTGAAATCTGTGCTCTGGTTTTCCATGTAGCCTGGGTTTCATTTTGAAATTTTCCAAAAATGGCAGCATTCAAAACCTTTCTGTTTCATTGTCCGAGAAGTACGTAATTTGTAAAGTTGGTTACGGGTACCCGATCCCACAATCTGGAACCGGTTCCTGACATCAGCGGTCGGATACTCAGGCCCGATGCACACCCCCATATTCAGGATACTGCAGGAAATTCGGATATTTTTCCAGCATGGAAATAATTCACATTGGTCAGTCCAAGGGGGGGGGTGGGGGTGGGGGTGGGGGGTGGATGGTAGGAACATTATAATCCGTGGGTTTTTATGTGGGACGCGACATGTTTTTGTGAGTTACCTTCATCGCAGAATTGTCCAATGATGAAAGGCTTGCATGAACAGTGGAACATCTGCCGTGACAAGGACTCAATGCAGGACCCGTTGACACACGGCGAAGATACGCAAGGACTGGCAGGACGTAGGGTCTCACAGTGTAGGCCGGTGTACTGCATGTCACATTCACAGCTGAAATGATCAACAACAAAAATAGAAGGTTCAGTACTTTGTTCATTTCGAAAGGGACTGATATATGAATGGATGATATGAAAGGATGTTATATTCAATACAGAAAAAAACCCCAAAACCCTCCAGTCAGTAATAAGATCCACGTTCTCTATGAGTGATACCCGATAACCATTATCAGCACTGCTAATGTAAGCAAGCATCATGACTTTGGACATTCGACAGGCCATATCTAACTAATGGATTTCATGGCCTCAGACTTGTTTCTCTTGAACAAAGTGATTGACAACTTGGAGCCTGCCAGAATACAGCTGTGAGTTATTAGTAGAATGCTAGTATGGTGGTCATGGGTTCAGATCCTGTTTTGGTTAATATCTTTGTTTATTCTAATGTTCATTGAACTAAAAAGTTTGGAATTCAAATAGCAAACGATGATTGTCAGAAATTGTCAATCATGAAAACGGGGCCAACGCTTTGGCACTCCTATGGATGCAATTGTAGAACGGTTGCAATTTCATGGAGAATAAGCAGTAAGCACTGTAAGGAATATGCTGATATCATGAATCTTATCCTTTGTCAAATTTTAGCTTGGGCTTCATATCAGGCTTCTCATGTTGATTTTTGATAATAGTATATTATTAGATTAATCTAGAGTACTTAACCAACCTGTATGCATTAATGAGGTCCTGGCAGGTGCCACCATTCAAGCAAGGAGAGCTCAGACATTCATCCATGTTAATCTCGCAGTGTTCCCCCGACGTCCCCACTTGGCAGTCGCACCGAGGCTGGCCACCACCTGTCTCAACACACGTCCCCTGGTTCTGACACTCCCAGTCCAAGCAAGTGATGACAGGAGACTGGCAGGTGATGCCCTTGAAGGCTGCACTGCAGACGCAGACATAACTGTTCGTCTCGTCCACACAAGTGCCTCCATTCTCGCAAGGGTTACTCTCACATTCATTGATGTTCAGTTCACAGTTGATTCCCATGAAGCCAGGCAAGCAGGTGCAGTTATATTCATTCAGCCCGTCGTTGCAGGTGCCGTTGTGCATGCATGGATGGTGGCTGCAGTCATCAGCACTCATCTCGCAGTTCACCCCGATGAATCCGCGACGGCAGCCGCACTGGTAACCGTTGACCAGGTCATAGCAGGTGGCTCCGTTCACACAAGGTTGGCTGAGGCATTCGTCTACATTCGTCTGGCATGTGACCCCGCTGAATCCTACTACACAGATGCACTCATAGCCGTTCAAAAGGTCTGTGCAAGACGCGCCATTCTGGCAGGGCATGCTGGCACATTCATCGATATTGGTCTGGCAAAGGTCACCGCCGTACCCAGCAGGACACATGCAGTGGAAGCCATCAACAGCATCGACGCAGCTGCCATCATTCAGGCAAGGGTGACTGACACACTCGTCGATGTTAATTTGGCAAGATGGTCCTTCGAATCCAACAGCACAGGAACAAGTAAAGCCACCAGGGTGGTCAACACAGGTTGCGCCATTCTGGCAGGGTCGGCTCTCACACTCATCCAGATCAGTTTCACAGCGTCTGCCTACGAATCCCATGGGGCACTCACACGTGAAGTTACCAATTTGGTCCAAGCACGTGGCGCCATTCTGGCAAGGTTGGGATGTACACTCATTAACGTCTGTTTCACAGTGGATTCCTTCAAAGCCGAGAACACAGTTGCACACGTAATGACCGTGGTTATCGACACAGGTTGCATTGTTCAGACATGGGCTACTCTCGCACTCATTGATATTGGTCTCGCAAGTCAGGCCAAAGAAACCGGCTGGGCAATCGCAGTGAAACATCCCCACATCATCGACACATGTGCCGCCATTCATGCAAGGCCGTGACAAACACTCATCAACGTTCGTCTGGCACGTCCGTCCCAAATACCCAAGAGAACACAGACACATGAACCCATTGACACCGTCAACACAAGTGGCACCATTCAAACAAGGATTTGATTGACACTCGTCAACGTTCACGCCACAGTTCTCTCCTGAGAACCCAGCAGGACAAATGCAGTTAAAGTTAGCAATTCCATCAACGCACGTTGCGTTATTCTGACACGGCGAACTCAGACACTCATCAATGTTCTCCTGACAGTCAACCCCTGCGTACCCAGCAGGGCACGCACATCGGAACTGACCCCTCGCGCTACTGCACGTGGCGCCGTTCCGACAAGGTTCACTGAGACATGCATCAATTTCATCCTGACAGAACAGTCCTTCAAACCCTTCTGCACAAACACAGTCAAACCTGTCAACTCCATCCACACAAGTGCCATTATGCTGACAAGGTGAACTAACGCATTCATCAATGTTGGTCTGACAGAACTCCCCTTCGTACCCTGAAGTGCATACACACTGGAAGGAGTTGATGCCGTCAATGCAGGTACCTGAATGTTGACAAGGATCGTTAGCACAGTCGTCAACGTTCACATGACAAGTTGGACCGGCGAAGCCTTCAGTGCACAGACACTCATAGCCATTGACATTATCTACGCAGCTTGATTCAGCATGGCAAGGATTGCTAGCACACTCATCAATGTTCATCTCACAGCGATGTCCCTCGAAGCCTTCAAGACACAGACATGAGAAGCTACCGATGCCGTGAGTGCAGGTGGCGCCATTCTCACACGGGTCAGACAGACACTCGTCCAGATCCATCTCGCACCTGTCGCCATGGTAACCCACCGTGCAATTGCATGAGAATCGCCCAATCAGGTTGGTGCAGCTGCCGTCGTACAGGCAAGGTGAACTTGCACATTCGTCAATGTCGTTTTCACAGTGGGTGCCATCATAGCCTGGTAAACAGCGACACGTGTAGCTGTTGGGCTGATCGATGCAGGCGGCTTGGTTCAGGCACGGTGAGCTGGCACACTCATCTATGTCGATTTCACAGTTCATGCCTTGTGAGAAAAATATAATCACATGACAATTGTCATAACAGATACACAATTTGTGTTAAGTTATTCTAAATTCTTCTAACTTATTTTAGAATAGAACTTGGGCCTTGGAGTCAAGTTTGCATAGTGGTACTTTCCTTGCCTTTCAACTCTGCAACTTGATTCATCAGTCCTTACGATGCGTTAAGTGCTTTTGAGGAATCCTTGGTTTCATTACCAGAAATTTGTAATGAGGATACCCCATGCCAATGTAAGAAAAACTATCAATGCACCATCAATTGGCTCACTGAATATTCATTTGGTTTAGATAGATTCAAAAGAAAACAATTCAAATTTTATCATCTTCAAGTCAGATTCTTTCACCAACAGTTCAATCTTACAAAAAAGGGTGACACTGAAGGAAGTTATAAGCAGATTCATTTCAATCCAAATCTATCTTTGGCAGAGTTCAGGTTTTTCTGGGTCTATGCTAGATTATGTTCAGATTGACACCTCACCGTTATATCCTGAACTTACCGGTATATCCTGCATTGCAGGAACACTGATACCCACTGACACCATCGTTGCAACTTCCGCCGTTCTGACAAGGTGCAGAAGAACATTCATCGATGTTATCTTTACACAGGTCGCCGGAGTAACCAGGACGGCAAACTTTAGCACCTGTAGTTTCGTCGCAGGTGTAGTGGCCTTCTGCATCACTGTCTTGAGGCACGCAGCGTACGTTGCAGGAAGATCCGTAGAATGTTGGATCACAGTAAGCTGTTAGCTCAACTACCATTCTGTTTAAAATATACGGAAAAATCAGCGATAAGGTTTTAAAAAAGGCGGATGGGTATTTGCCTGCTGAACTATCATTAAGTCGATATGTGACTTTCAAGCGCTTTTGTCACAAGTAGATCACACAACTCTGGGACCCACCTTCTCCTCACCCAGGTTCGCATCCCAATTTGGTCAAAAGTTTTAATTAGCTCTTCAAATAACTTAATTGACTTCACTTGGGGGTTTTCGTTCCTTGTTCTCTTCTTAATACCTTTCCACAGTATCACTACAAAACCTCCACTGTTCAACTCTCCACCAAATCTTCAAGTCTCACTTAACCCTTAAGGCAGGTTCATACTTCATTATGAGAATGCGAGCTTGTGACGTCACAGCAAGTATTCAGGTTGCGAATTCTCAAAAACTGCACACATCTCAACTCCAGCAAATTTCACTGCGAATGTTTCCTGATGCGTGAGGTATGATTCAGCCTTTACCCCTTAGGCCAAAAAAAAAAGTTTGTCGAAAAAGTGGTGCGGCGACGCGGCTTTTTTTTTTTTTTACCTGACTTTTTTGCTTCAAATGTCGACTGATGACTGCAAATGGTGCCCGACTAAACTTAGTGCAAATATATGGGAGTTCAGAGAGGCTACATTAAGCTTATTCTCGATCATAACCCCATCTAAAAACACGTTAAAATTGTGCAGCAGCAGAATTCCAGTCAAACCAGTGAGTTTGGCGGTTTTGAGACATCATCTTTCATTGAAAAAAAAACCTTTTTCATTTTGCCGACGCGCATGGCTACGGCGACGCGCGCGCATACCAGAAACCGGAGACTTTTTTTTTTTTGGCCTTAGGCCTTTTTTTTTTGCTGTGAATAATAAACCTCCCAGAGGCCTACAAGGCACAACACTGTGAAGGAACCCAATTACATTGTTTATAACTGAAACACAGAGTCCGATGTGCTGTAACAATGATTTGGCTTTCCCTTCCCCTATCTTTCAATATCCACCAATACCTATCCATAGGCGTAGCATCTAGGGGAGTTGGGGGTATTTGTACCACCCCCCAATTTTTTTCATGAGTGGCCTGTTTTATTAACGCCACGCAAACTTTACTAGCATCGGACGATTGTGATTCGTCATCATGCGACTAAACCAAATCGAAAGTGTCCCCTTCACAGGATGTCCTCGCTAAGTACATGTAAGGTTGCGTCTGAATTACTTGGCATGCAAATGCTTCCATAGGCGTGTGTGTAATTTCTAGCCGTAGCAATGTAATTCGGGCACGGCCAAAGAAAGCGCCCTCTCTTGGTCAAGCACCAAGCCCATAGGTCAGGTCACTCGTCTTTCCTTTGCCGCGAGATTAAAGATACAAAGCAATTAAAGCCCACGTCACAGATCTGATATCAGTAGATTTTGAAAGATCTGGGAAGGTCATGGCTTAATTCATTGTTCTTCATCTTGTAGTTTACAAGTACATCTACTCATTAACAATCTTACGAGGCATATCCCGGTCCGGTCAGTGTGAACGAAGTTGCCGAAGCTGTCTCTTCGCTGGATGCGGCTGCCACGTTCAGATTCTTGAAGAACGAATCAACGTGGTCATCACTGTTGTTGTCATCATCCCAAACATCAATCTTGATTCGGATACCACCCTGTGAGAAAGAAGTGGATGATGATATTACACCGGATTTTATTAATGGACGAGATTTTGAATGCCTGTTGGATCATTTTCATGACATATTTTTGATATGATTCCAGGAAAAAACTGCGCTCAATGTAGTTTCAAAATATTTAAACCAAAACAGGTACATCGTTTTTGAACAGGAAGGGATATTTAAGAAGAATGGATACTTTTGCCAAAAGTATTTTATGATGACCCCTTTCTTTTAACTGAAATTAACATTTCCTTCTTCTTTACCAGTCTTTACCCTAAAATAACATTTCCTTCAATCATTTATTTTGGTACTGTCTAGACAACTGAATGTTATCCCAAGGACCTTTGAACACTGCACTATCACTAGTGGGTCCAGAATATAACCACAATAACAATCGTCATTGAAGAAAACATGGAAAAGCCAATCTTGCTGACTAAAATCACTTAGTACAACTCTTAACAGACAGCACTAGAAATCAATTTAAAACCTATCAGCCAAGTTTTCTTGAAGGGAAAGAAATATATTCAATATTGGGTTTTGCCCGTCAGGGATATTTGTTTATTTTATAAACACTCTATATTTAGGGTTGCGGCCCCCCCCCCCCTCCCCGAGTAATTGTGAGGAAAAAAAATCACTCCGGTGGGGCTCGAACCCACGACCTCCTGCTTACTAGCATAGACATCTTACCACTCGACCACCAAGCTTGCCGTGGTCGGCTGGCTGGTTCGAATCAGAAATAGCAGTGGGTACTGCAATGAGACTATTCATCAGAATAGTTTGCTCAGTGGTCGAGTGGTAAGACGTCTGCACTAGTAAGCAGAAGGTCGTGGGTTCGAGCCCCACCCGAGTGATTTTTTCTCACAAACTTTCGGGGTCAACACTGAGTATACAGTGTATATAAAAAAAAAAATATTGGTGAAGGGCAAAACCTAATATTGAATTTACATCACCCGACGCAAATTCCATCTTATGAATAGTAAAAAATGGAATAAAGACTTACAGGCCATGAAGGCAGGTTCCTTCTGATAGGATTAGCAATTCCGTTTGGGATAGTGGAGGGGAAATTGAAGACATCTTGGTCAGGGGCTACATTGCCCGTTATCATTAATCCGTATTGGCACAGATGATATGCTGTGGATCTGTAACACAAAAGGAAAAAGAAAAACACAAGACAAACTGAATATTAGGGATATAGAAAGTAAATTTATGTCCTCATTATCGTAACTGGATTCCGATGCGAATGCATGTAAAACAATGTGCCACATTTTCTTAAGCCACGTTCAGTGATTATTTTCTTCCAAATGACACCATTTTAGGTGGAATAATTTTCTAAGGTATTTGGTACATTGTACCAGGTCCCATTTTCACTTTGAGCAAGGATTTTCTTGTTAAATCCTCACACATTTTTCCGGGTAATTGCAAATGTTCCCAACTTACCTATAAATGAGGGCATCTAACAGGCTTTCAAGCAGACCCAGGTGAAAAAGCAGAACAGTAGGATCAAAATTATATAAGAACAGGAGTTACAGGACAAAATTCGGACTTTGGTGGAAAAAATCACGATCAAAGTAGGACTTTTGTGGGCTTTCAGGATTTTGTTGTTGTTAAACAGCATCATAAGCTTCCTTTATTTGGCATGTTCTGTACTCATAACACTTGCGCTCCATCCTCAACTAAGCTCTTGGAAGTACAGTTGCAGTAGTCCTGCGCCCAAGCCCTTCATTGTGTGATCTACATGGCAGTGTAAACACTGTTAACAAGATTTCATTTTTCGGAGTTGTTGGACAAAAAAAGTAGGAAAAGTAGGAATACTTGAAAGCCTGTTCTAATTCTGAAATTGAACATCTTCTTACATTACATCTGAATAACACACAAAGTAACAAACAAAGAGCCTTTGTTATGCAGTCCGAAATGAGGATCATTGCAAGGATCATTTGCACCCCCTCCCCCTCCCATTTTTTTTTTCTTCTGGGGATGCCCATGGCAGATAACTTACGAATCCGGACGGTGCAGACATATGATAAATTTAGTGTCGCATTTGTTGGAGCAGCTACCCCAGAAGTCGTCGCAACAATCTCCGTCCGATTCCCGATTCGACGGGTTGCTGTAAGAGCGCAGTTTCAGACTGACCGATACCGAGGCATCTACTGCTGCATCCCTCATCTGTGTCAAGCATAAAGAAGACAGAAATAAAAATTATAAAATAAAACATTGACGAGTAAGATATGTATCTGTGTGTAAACCATAAAGGGGGCACCCCCCCTCCCCGAAGAAAAACAATCTTGAAAAGTAGGGGAAGCGCCCCCCCCCCCCCCTCGCGATGCCCATGCGGGGGATGCTAGTGTTAAAGGGAATATACAACATTTGCAAACATCGAAAAATAAAACTACCAAGTTTTTGCGAAATACCTTAATAGGACGTTGGTAAATGACAGTCTAAAGCATCCTGTAAAATTATGGCACCTGGTATACTGTCATTTTCAAGAAAAGTGGTATTTTTGTATCAATTTCCAACGCTGATCGGCCGATCAGCGTTGGAAACAACTGGCTTTTTTTCAAATACTGGCCCCAATTGACTATTGCACTTGTTTGCAATCGATTACAAACCTATGAACGGGTACGAGCCAGCTAGACTGGTTCCCTGACCTTACAATTCCCCAATGTATGTAAACTGCTCTGTTTCTTCTTATATGGAGTCAGGGAACCAGACTACAGGTAAATGATCGTTTTTCTTGGTTTTTATAGCATTTTCGAACCCAAAACCTCCAAAAAGTCAGTGTAACTATATTTGCTTTGTATTTCCAATCCCCCAATTCCATCCATTTCTGAAAATTACAGCAAAAGCAAATGATGTATATTCCCTTTAAGGAGACTTTGTTGAATAATCAGTGAGGCATTCCTTGTATCTAAAATACGACTTTTGTTTATTCAACAGGTCTTATTGAGTTTATTGAAGCAGGTTTAATTCAAAACATAATTAAACAACATGAACATAATTAAACAACATGAACATAATTAAACAACATGAAATTTCGATGGATAAAAAATCCACTTCATTTGGCCGTGCAGTGTATGCATGGGGCCGATCCACCCCATGGTCCTCATTGGTTGTAAGTTTTCTGATAAATATGAATAAACATGAGTAATATCACGTGGCCTGTATTATGCATGCAGTGCCGTATTTGGCGGCCTTGGGCAAATTCCACAATTGTGACGAGGTCGAGTAGGTGCAACTGTGGTTTGTGCATTCAATGTAAAAGCCTTTCCCACGAGGGAATGATAGCCAAAAAAGAGACAATAATTTCAAACACGACGCACAAAATACACGATTTGAGGCACTGACTAGGAAGCTCCAATTTAGTAAGTGCCGAACTGGTTTTGATGATGATGATGGATAAAAGTAAATAACAAAAAAATTACAAGTTTTCTTTAAAAGAGAGAAAAAGAGAAAATGTAATGTTAAAGCATATTAGGATTAGTAAATTAGTTGGCTGAGTTTATACGATGCATTTGATTTTGTTGAACTTCTGGAAAGTGTTTGCCAAATTGTCAACACATGGTCGGCTTTTCAAAAGTCCTCCGAACATTTCTGTTCGAGGGGATAAAGATAGCCACCCACCACACTATCGAAATTGAAATTGGTTCTTGCAAGCATTCCTAACGAAACTGGATCATTCCTTGCAAACGTGCCGAAAACTTGAAGTTGATTTTTACATCGTTTTTCCTTGTCCTCGGGTCAACTAAAGTCATGGGTGGCAGAGGGCAAACCGAAAAAAATGTAGATGTTTCATCACCTTTAATAACTCTCTATAGGGTCAAAGTTGACTGACTCTTTTCACTAATAAACATTTACTTGAAAATCAATCGACAAGTCGAGTCGAATTCCTTCACTTTTCATCATTTGAGTTCGATACAATGAGAGACGAACATTTGTTTTTTCTGAATCATCAGTCAATATCGTTATTTTATATCGAGGTCGGGTTTTAAAAAGCGCTTGCTTTATTTATTGATATTTATTAAGAATTCAGTGAAAAGTAAGAACATTCATTCGTTAACACCCAGTTCTTACGATAGGAACTAGAAGTTTTCAAAACAGTAAAGGGTGGATTAAAAGTTTACAACCGAACGGAACTTGCACTGCAACATACACTGACTTAACATCTTCAGTGACGCTACAGAAATTCAGATGCGGGACACTTTACGCTGATATTTGAGGTGGTCTCTTTTCAAAGAAATATTATCTTTTTAACTCCGTTGTTTGAATTTCCAACACGTCAACACCCGATTAGTTACCAAATATTCCCACCTTGGCCCTCGAGACGAAGGTTACTGACCTGAATGCTATACGACAAAAACACCGACAAACGGGTGTCCAAGGGCAGATAAATATGTAAAACACCTCATGGTCGATGTCAATAAAAGACGAGATTTGGCAACCCGAGATCACATACCGTATGTATTATTTATAAACTTGGCAACAAGTTTTGAATTCCATATTTTTGCCTTCTTCCTTTCGTTTCTTTCCAGATATTGAGTTCACAAATTGAGCATCTTTCACCGATACAAACAGAAACGGAATCCGTTTGTTTAAATTCAAGATATACGCAAGACAGAATTTGCGTCTCTTTTACTTTTTGCCGCTACTTCTCGGCTGTTTTCCCAAGGATTTTTTCTCTCTCTCCAAATTTGCATTACTTCAAGCAGTTCCAGCCTCATTAATTTGTCTTTGACCTCAACCTCAGGAAGTAATTACTGGTCATTGCAAGCTACTAGCTGATCCAAAACAAAGAAGTGTTTTGTCTTGTTTTTCCTCTCTGTTGGGGGTGCCGGTTTTTGATTGAAAGCCGTCATTGGTATCAACCACTATTTGGAGTACATGTACATGTACATGTACAATACTCGGGATAACGACAGTAGATTCTGTACCTACAATCGCAGTACAGATCACATTTATGTCGGTCATTTTGAAGTACCATGGTGGAAGTATACGTTTTACAATTATGTCGATTTCTTTGAGTACTATAATGCTCTACAATTATTCCGATCTCTTTGAACTATGTTCTATAATTATGTCGATCCCTTTGAAATATTATATGTTCTACAATTATGCCCATCTCTTTGAACTACTTATTTTCTACAATTAAGTCGATCTATTTGAACTACTGATAATCTATAAGTGTCTGTATGTCGATTTCTTTGAAGTACAATGTTCTACAATTATGTCGATCCCTTTGAAGGTTGAAAGTTGGGTGGCCGCCATTTTGGGAAAAAAATGACGTAATAACGGAAACGACACCTGTGCTGTGTCTATTCCCAAGGTAACAAAACAATGCAGGCCTGCCGATTTACAGTGTAAATACAGAAATACAAGATAACCAATCAATAATGATCAACAGATGTTAAACGTTGAAAGTACTGAGGACGAAATATGAACAGCTTAGTTAATATTATTTTTTACTGGTAAATGCTGTTTTGTGAATCTTGTCTTGAATGAGAAATACATTGTAGCGTCTGCTGTGGCTTGTGCAAAGAGAAACAAACAAACAAACAAACAAACAAAGGAAAACGAAAGAAAAAATTCGTCTTTCGAAGAAAGTGAAACAAATAGCGAACATTCTTATATTCAATGACTGCTTTCAATTTAGAAGGATGAAATCAATCCGAATTTGCCAATGAGCCAATAAAGAAAAAACGAAAAATCTTGGACATTCCCACTTTTTAAAAAAATATGTAATGGAAGGCAAATGCAAACAAACGCAGACACAATGCTAATTGTTATTTTAATAGCTTATCTCGTTCAGGTTTCCGCCTAGTGCAAAGTTGGGTAAGGCCATCCGGTCACAAACCGGATTTGTCAAATTCACCCTGAGACGGCTCGAAGGAAATCTAGATTAAAACAACCAAACCTCAAAGTCAAACAACGCAAACTGAAACTAAATATTAAACAATAACATCCCTCCCCAAAAATTTAATAATAAACAAATAAGTAAAATAAAATAAAAACATATATAAAATTGAAAGAAAAAAATTCAAGCGGGTTTTAAACTCTTATAATATCGACCTACAACAAACCCAAACAGTGAACATTATTTGTTCAATTATATTTTGGTGCATAATTATGGCCTATAATTAAAGCAAAAGCAAAAAAAAAATAAAATAAAAAAAAATACAACTAACAATTTGTCAACACAACTGCAAAGTGCAATAAATCCGCTGATTTTAAACCTCATTTTCCTAAATTTATTGAATGCCTGCATTCGTTTAGCGAGGCCAGGTTGTGTATTTTCAATGTGTCACCCTGACATTTAACGACTATGTTCACAAGTCCATTGACAACATCATTCATTTTAATCATTTACTAATAAAATGCGGATGCAATTCACAATGTAATGCGGCGGTGTGCATGTGGCGCAGTGAAGGCATGCACGCTTCGCATGCAGTGCATGAAATGATGTCCCCCCGCAGCATTTGAATATTCCGTCCTATTTCAAGACGCCGGACTAAGGGACCGCGACAAAAATTCGGTCAAATTGTAAAAACGACGTGATGTCAATTCAAGATATTGCCATCGGATGAACACAGTACCGCGTGAATTAAAGTCCCAAATAAAGTATGTTTTCAAAAAAAAAATCCCCTTTTTGGGGGGTAGAGTTTTCTGGATTTTTTTTTTATCTTACTCTAATTTTGAACGGTTTTAACTCAGTATGTTTCACTGTTTTATTTAATACAAGCAACAAACAAAAGAAATGGCAAGGAAGTCAAAATGTGTACTTGTGCAGAACAAAATCGTTCTGTGTATCTGTTTGAAATGGGTTGAAAATGTGATGGGGAAAAAAGGCAGAGGATTCAAATTTCAAAACAAACACGCAATGAACTGGTACAAGTTCATGTTTGTCTCACATGCTGAAGGAAATAGCACATTATACGGTCGGAAACATGGAGCTCCATCAGCCGAACATTATAGTTTCGAGTAAAAGCGGGGACAACAAAGGATAATGTGTACAATCCGTTCTATCACGGGGCTAGTAGGCGCATACATGTAGCCCAATCACAGACCATGCCGTGGGCCTGGGCCCATTCGTGAAACTTTGCAGCCCACTGTAATCTTAGTATTCTAGGAAGTTTACCTTTTACGGGAAGTTTACTTTTTTTACGGGAAGTTTACTTTTTTTACGGGAAGTTTACTTTTTAAAGGAAGTTTACAGTTACACGCGGAGGAAAAAAATCCCAAGCGTGTCACCTGTTTCCTATGGTTCGATCACGGGGACTATATGGAGGCGAGAGTTGGGGGAACGTATCCCTCCATAAACTTCCAGTCAGTGCCCCCACAAAAAAGTAAAGCTCCAAATATCCAAGAAAGCATGAGAAGTCGGTTGTGACTGATCGGAACGAAGCCCTCTCCCATTAGTATAAGCTAATTTCCCCCTTGCCCTCCCCCCGTCATTGAATGAAAAAACCCTGGCAACACGCCATGTTTATTTCCTCTCACGGATCACGCCACAACTGCAAGTTCACCCTTCACTCCTTCAAGAGTGGGTGTATTTTTTTTTCTTCTTCTCGGAATAACAAGAAAGTATGACAGACCTCCCCTCACGTCTACGATGACACAGGTTGTTATGATCTAGTTTACTCTCAAACACGGTTGTTATGCTGAATCATTATGTGTAATAAACGCTCTCTATAATATACTTTCAGAAGACAGTGCAGTTCGTTTTTCATATTTCGATCACAAATGTCGATCACATCAGCATCACGAAAGCAGCAAAGTTCAATGATTTCCATGACTTAGTGTTCCATCTCGCCTTTACCTTCTTGGCTGTGACATGAGCATCCACATGCGATTAATTATCGATCAGAAATGCGATTGTAAAACCATGGAGGATCCCTTTGAAAAAAAAAATGAGAATTGTTTTAGGATAAAAAAATTAGGCACGTTCATCCAACTACCAATTATTAAATTTCTTACTTCCGAAGAAATAATCTCTTATTTCCGACTGAAACCAAAGGACCAAGTTTTCACTCGAGTTTTCGACTGAACTGATTCCTTTTCTCAAAGTATTTAAATCTACAATTATAGTGATTTTCACTCAAAATCGTCTTCGGTTATATACTTCCCTAGTTACAATCTGGGTATTATAAAGGATGTTAAAAAAACACTATCTAAAATAATGTAATAACAATCAAGTGTGCGTAAACCATAAGCAGACATTTATAATTCTCGTCAGCTTTTAAGCAGTCACGAAGTGTTTAAAAACCTCGGAAGCGATATTTAAGAAAAACACCGGCTTTTTTGGATAGGACATGTTCGGACGATCCCCGACAGCGATCAAGGGTAGCGCACGGGCTACTGAAGTGTGAGCGGATCACGTTGCTAATGATATGAGTTTTCCCGCCACCAAAACATACAGCAGCCATTTGACTTACGGGCTCGCAAAGACATACCCACCACCTTATAATTATATAAAACTATAAAAGGGTTATGGGATCTATTGCATCATATGGGCTCGGGCAAACTAAGAATGATAGTGATAAAAAATATACGACTTTAGTGGCTGTCGATCGGGTGTCATTTCCCCCCTCCATTATTAATTCAATACTGCTTCATGTGTATGATAGCCAAGCTGGGATGCTACTGCCTTTGAAACCTGTAAATGTTTACAATTTTGGACATTGTACCCTTTTCGTGCAAACGTACTTTGTACTTTTATTTGAAATAGCTATTAAGTGCTCGTTTTACAATGGACTTTTGACACCCTATATTGCAATATGCTCAGCACGTATTATCCTGCCGAAATTCAAATTCACAATTTCGTGATGGGAATATCTAAAAGCTTGCTTGAACCGTGGAAATATTCCTTCCTCCTTGCTTGAACAACTTTAGAGGCACACGTTCATACTAAAATCTGTATGTTATACTTGGACTAACTTAAAAATATATATTTTTTCAAAGCAGAGGGTAAATTTTGAACGGAGGCCGGCTTGTTTTTAGTTACCCGAAATATACCCACTGTTTCGCTAAAAAATCGCGGATCAAGGGTAACATAGAAAAGAAGTATACAAATCTAACATAATGGAAACTATTGTCCAATACTAAGAAGAGATTCCCTGAATAGCCCTCAGGAATTTCAAGATTACATCAATTACCAAGTATTATGTGAGACAAGACGTTTTATTGGGCCGCCACATACTACACCCGCATAATGTTATTACATAACTAGTAAACCGCGATAAGGGATTAAAACGTGTTTTCCTGGTAAACGTCCTTGAGATCTGTACAGCGGATCTTTCCATGGCCATGTATAGTGACGAAAAAGCGGATGGCTGTGCTGGATAGAAACACAGAGCAAGGATAGAAACAAATCGAATGCAGAGGCGCAATACACTTACGGAGAACTGTTCACTATGCCGACCTAATATATGCCCTGCTGGACGAATAAAAACAATATTCGTTGCTCTTGTAATAAATAAGAGCATAAATGTGGTAGGCCTATGCCATGATTTTATTTCATTTATGTGGGAGACCTACTTTACCATGTTTACGGCCTATTTCCAATGGTCTTTATTCATTATTCCTCCATGTTCTTAAAAACTCTTATTTATCATATTCATAATTCCCACAAAGTAAAACTACTTATTAAGGGTACTTCCTACTGCACTGGGAACTTAAATATTGATAAACATGAAAACAACGCGCAGCGGAGATAGAGAACAAGTCAAATTCTGGCAATCATGTCAAGCAAAAACTGAAACTTCCAGCGCTAATCATTGTATGATTTTAAGACAAAACCAGCACTTCTTCACGGTCATGATGGTACGTATCGCTATCATCATCTGACAAAATGACTGATCACCATCACCAGATCACGATACTTCTTATTAGTTGACAGACTATTTCTTTAATATATGACATGGAAAGATTCCCATATCTGGCCATCACTTGTCACCGGTCCCTGTGCACAAGCTGTATGAGACTGGTCTGAAAATCAAGTGTTTTCTCAGACTAAAATACTTCCATATTTTCCCTACTAAATGTGACTTTTTTAGGACATATTTTCACTTTCTGATGGCTGATGGATAACTGAAACTGAAAGGAAAAAATAGTGATGGTAAAATATGGGAATTACTATGATATTGATGGCAACATTTGTTGATGATGTTGATGATCGTACTCACGTGGAATGTTATGACGACTAGAACTGCAAGGATTATCGACGACAATCCTCCGCTGTAAAGCCGTGCCCCCATTGTATCTTCAAGGCTGATGTGTAGCACTCTTCACTGATGTATTTTCCTTGTACTGTACTGCACACTCCGTCCGAGATGGTCCGATTTTTGTGAGTCACCGACTTGAAATGACGGCAGAAAATGATCTCAGGCTTGGAAATGTCGCCGACAAAAACAATCAAAATCCTCGTACGAGTAGATTATCACATATCTAAGAACATTTTAGTGCGTGAAAATACGCGGACGCGATCTGTAGTGAAGCAGGATTGGGTGTGTGTGGCCATGTGGTTTACGCGCACGCACTGTACAACCTCGTGGTTTGTATACAAACACACGCGTTCACGCCCAAAACAAAATCTTATGAATGAACGTTGTGTTGATAAAGGACGTGTAGATGGTGTTACCGCGAAAGCACGCGCATGTAAGATAAATAATTATGTTTCTCTCTCCGATTGCAAGTGATTTTGTGTGTTTAATAAACAGTGTTGAAATTGAAGCTTTTTGGGAGGAAGTAAAAATCACTCATCAAACGGTATAAATCAAATTGATGGTAAGGCTGATTCAACACGTCGAAATTGTCCGAATCGTTCTGTTATATAACTGGTTTTATTCTAAACTATTTAACCATAGGTTGAACACTCGGGGAGGAATACGAAGGTTCCTCCACGGTTTGAAAGAGCGGCTGCAAGCAATGAGGCAAGAACAGCTTTAAGTGGATGCTAACGTGTATCGGTGCGAACATGGAGGAATAAACAGTCCTAATGATTAAAGGAATGTTACATTATTTTATAAAACATGTACCGAGAACGTTGTTTTTAATTGCCATCTACTCGTTGATAATGGTGCACCGGCGGACGTACGATTTTACTACAGCGCCCACGCGACCTCAAAATTTCTGGGCACGCAGCCAAGTCTCATTTCCTTTGATCACTACTCGCCTGATCGACAAACCACCAATCCGCCCGGGGTTACTATATTACGTGGCTCAGGCGCACTTACATATTAAATGATGTCCTAATTATTAAAACATATTTTATGGTCACTCAAGCAGGTCATATCATGAGCACTATTTTTTTTGTAGCCACAGTGTTGGGTAAATTCGCCAAATTTTCACTGAATAAGAAAATGGAATTTGTGACAAGGGTCGGATCATGCGTAGACTCTGCATGTAGCCAAGCGATACCGTGGCGATACCCTGCATGCAGACCTGCTTACTCAGGTCATGCTCAGGCTGACCACGAAGAGCAAATGGTCAAGGGGTCACTGAAAGTTCATTAAAATAGTAAATAAACCGAAAAAAAATTCTGGAAAGGAGGCATTACTATAGGAAAAAGTAACTTAGCATTCACCAAATCGCAACAAACCGTACGTTTTTTTTATTCTGTAAAACACATCCTTTCCAGAATCCATTTTTTTAAGCAGAGAACTTTAAAAATTGATGCGATCATGTGAACAGTGTTAACAGCGATGGAGGAAACCTCACTTCAATGAATATTCACCTTTTTGTAAATAAACTCACTCAGTTCATGCATCATAATCTATCATATCATCAGTCGGTGCATGCACGAGTCAAGGACAAACCTTCACCAAAACTTGGTCCATGGAGGGGGGGGGGGGGGCAAGGAAATATAGGGGAGATAGCTTACTGCACCCTTGAACTATGTGACCTCAGTGCCCGCTTTACTGCACTGTGAAGGCGTGAACCGTTTTCCAGAGCAGCAGTGTGAATTAAGACTAAATTGGAGTTCTACGATCGTTTCCAGGACTTATGAAGCCAGGTCTGACGTCATACATTTGCCCACTCACGTCACGGAGAGGGAGGGGGGGGGGGGAGGAGGTGATGAAAAGAGCCCCCCCCCCAAAAAAAAAACCCCCAAAACAACACTCAGGTTTTACGTTTGTCTCCGACATCGGCTACATGACATTGTACGCCGGGATTCTGGCCATTATGTTCGGCTAAAAATACTTATGAAGCCCGCAAAGTTAAGAGTTTTCCGTGCATTTTACGGGGTTGGGACATTCAAGGCTCACCTCGGGAAGAATTAAATAATAAACTGAGGTGTTTCACGTTTCACAGCTTTGTCGCAACGAAGAGCCTTCTGTTGTCCGATCATGCTAAGTATACCTTATTTAAAAAAAAAGTTTGGGTAAAGTTGTCAGCTTCTCACAAGCGCGAATCAATATCCTCCCGCGTTTTGGCATTTTGACGAACGAAACAAAAAGTCGGGCCACTTTTTCAGAAAAGAAAATTCCCATTTTCCTCCTTTTGGATCCCAATAGATGTATGTGATGCCGGTAGGCCTAGGATATTATTTGTGGTTTCTGTTTTGTTTTGAATCGTTCTTTCAGTCCCAGGAATCAGGCAGGCTGGTGTTCTTTCCGGAGTGATTTAGTTTCACTATTCCAAATCAAGTTCGCTTTAATTTTTCACGACGACTTCAGTATATAGTTACGAGGCATCATAATATTTTTTTTAGTTGCAACGACAAACGCATGGCGGAAATGTCGTGTTGTTTCTTTATGCATTTTTTTGGGAAGGATCTGCAATTTATGCTGTATGTATTCATTGCATATACAGGGTTAAACATTATATGGACTTGCCCACGTCCACACAAGGTTTTCCCCTCTCTGAAAAATAGAAAGGAATTGTAGGGTTTACTACAGGGTAGATTTTTGCAAAAAATGAAGAGGAACATAATAATAGTCACGGAAATCATGATCAAAAATTGGGGTTTACAATGCCTCGCTAAAGTGAGTGACCCGTCACACTCTGCACAATACTACCTTCAGCAACGACTCCATACTTCATGGAGTTGGGTATTCACGCTGAACCTGAGTTTTCCCCCTTTTAGTTTCTCAACTTCATACACGATAAATTTCAATCCTTCTAATAAAGCCGTTACCCCGCTCTTTCAGAAGGCCTTAGTTGGCCCGAGGCCAATACTGTTGGTCTATAGAGTTTTCTGACGAATTATTAATAAAAACCCAAAACCAAAACCAATAATCCATTCTTAATCAAAGGGGTTGGTGATGGTGATTCTATTCGTTTCCCGTTCCTTTATCTACGATTAATCCCAGCACGAGCAAATACAAAATTGTAAAATTGTAAACTTTAGGCTAATAGTTGCATGCACGATCCAGACAGCAAAACATTTTTAGTATCTCGGTAAGTCTATGTAATACGCGTGCGTGGAAACATATCACGTGAACAATTAAACATATACGCAGGCCTATCATGCTGCGCTAAATCTGTGGTTTTGAATGCTGCAGGTCGAATTGAAGATGTATTTCCCCCCTTTTTTGGCCGAAAGTGAATTTCCTTCCCTAAATTAGTGTGTTTAATCCAGTCTCGCTGATTGATAACACAAACTATACACCCTTTTCATCTCGTTCATGGATCTGGACGATTAAAATAAGAAAAGAGCAGTTAAGTCCGAAAAACCATGTTTCCACCTGACGCATGCGCATTATGGTCGTTGACTATACTTGGTTGCAGAAAAAGTAATTGCTGCCCGACAGTCTAGTGGCAATGGCGCCCCCTGCCGCTTTTAAGTAACTTCCAAGTATACGGAGCGTGTGCGCGCTATTTTTGTGTGCAGAGGTGACAGCAGCGCGACACATTTTGCGACCTAACTAAAAAGGGTGCAGAGTAAATTGGCCCAAATTTCCTACGCGGGCCAAATCACGATTTGTATATGCCTGCCCTCTAATTCTCAATTATTAAAGCATTTTGAGGGGCGTGAACTTGCGGATTTGTAAAAGAGGAAGGGTGGAAGCCGTGCAGAGGACAGCGAGCTCGTGAAATTTGGATGAAATTAGGCCCTAAAATGGCTCTATTTTGCGATGGTGCCTATAGCTAGCTATAGGGCCTACGCCTATAAAGGCGTCCATTTTCGAAATTGCGATGGGCTTCAGGCATTGCTTTTTGGGGTGATCATCTTAGGCTGGACAAACATATTGTCCAAGGGGGGATTCGAACCCAGGTCAGAGCGTTGAAAGGCGAGGAAAGTACCGCTACGCCAACCTGATTCATGAATTCATATATATGGCCTACACGGATCTATATGATACATTGTCAAAACAGTCGAATTTCAAGCTAAGCACTTCACAGCACATTTCGAACAGTGTACTCCACAGATTATATATCCAAAAAAGATCCATGTCACACCTATACGACAATATCATGACAAGGGAAATATTTTGCATTGCTGTTCATCAACAGTTTTATATATCTGAGTACAATGTACACACGTATATTTTCTGAGTAAAATATGCACACTAAAATTAAATGTATTATTTTACAACATGATTGATATTATGAAGGCTCGGCAAATTATAAAATAATTTTAAACCAGACGGACATTATTTTCATTCCCCAGTATTGTGTACAAGACACGTTTGCAACTAACGATATTAAACTACACCGATTTTCTTCATGCCATGGGCGTAACTCCGGTGTGGGGGAGGGGGGGGGGGGAAGGATATTTCCTACCACTTTTTGAGCAGGGCCATTGGATCATCCCCCAGATCAAGAAACAAGAGAAAAAAATGCCAGGTTTGAGGTTATCTTGTAGCTTTCTAACAGTCGAAATGAAAATTCAATAGGTCTGCAAATTGGAGAACAAACGCTACAAAAGTTTTAAAATTAATGTACCATTTTGATGTACCACTCTAAAGGAGTGTGGAATAAATGTCTTCTTGAATTGAATTGAAATTGAATAAGGTTAATTGAGGGACGTAAGTGCGTAAGTTTGCGTAAGATGTACATTTGTATCATGAACAGCGCCCCCAGTGTCATGTGTTGTCAAGCCCCCCCCCCAAGCTTTTAGAATTTCTACGGCCGGGCAATTTGAGGATTTTGGTCATCCCCATCCCCCCACTCGCCGACATGGATTTACGCCACTGGTTCGTACTTTGACTCCAACCCAACGTCTCATCCAACACGCCCCCTTGAAAAATCTTGGACTTCGATACATTACCCTTCCCTGTTTAAAAAATCTTGGATCCCCCACTGGTTTATGCCATTTTACATTGTGGTTCACCGTCATAAAACAGCTTAGGCAAAAGCTGGCTCAGTTTAAAAAGCCTTAAAACCTAACAATCATTGTGACTTTCCTTCCTACATGTATATGGAATTATTCTCAAGACGAGTCTTTCACATTGTAACAGTTCAAAATGTCTGATAAAACTTCAGGCATTCCATTGAAAGCACATAAGCAAACGTTTCATAAAGAAATTGTCAAGATATCCGATGAATGACTTACATTCAAGAAGAGATATTTTCAAACAATTATTAAATCATGTACTTTAGACAGCACTGAAATTTTAAACTCCTCGTGGGAACATCTTAAGTGTAATTTTCTCCCCTTAAAAACAAAACATACACTTAGAATCAGAACTCAATCATCTGTGTATTATGTATATCTCTCTTCAGCAATTATGTTTAAAACTGTGTTCAAAGGATATAATTGTGTGACTGTATGTGACTTTTCGTTATACACCACAAATCCAGTAAAAATATTTGATTAAATACTGAGTATACGGCCTTAAAGTAAATATGGAATGATATATAAATGAACTAGCATCACTTTTTATAGCTACTAAATATCAAGCCGTATACATTTTCCTGGTTATACTCTTCCCCAAAAAGCAATTAAATGCCTTCCAGTGAGAAAAACACACCGTTCAATGAACATTAGAACAAATGCTATCCAAAAATTCTTTTTCAAAGCTATATTCAAGTTCTTCGGTTATAAATGCACTACAAAATGTGTACCAACCACAACCTTTCCGAACAGTAAATGAAACCTCGCTTCGCTATTGTTCAGAAACTTACTTTTTCTTCTTGGTTAGACAAATCATTCATTATAAACTTCAGTCAACTAAATGTACTTCAAAGATTATACAACTTTGTGAAGTGATAACCATTAATTTCAAACACTCTTCACACTAAAATTAATAGAATGTCAGCAAAAGTATAAAGTTGTAGGCGAAGTTGTCGGGAAGATCTGTGCGTGTAAGCTCATGGCCCACCTGACATTTTTTTTCGACCACAAACCCAAAATGTCCAAAAATCAAAATGTCAAGAATCACATCATGGTGGGGAAATTAAGTATATAGGCCTAGATTGTTTCGTAAATCGGATTGTCATAAGCGCTGCCGGACTTGTTCATGTCATCACTCGCACCCTTAAAAGTTGTTGTGTCGCAAACCTCATAATCATTAGCGCTTTCACACTTGTCCACATTATCACTCACACTCTCATTAGAAGTTGCTGTTTCGCAAACCTCATATTCATTAGCGCTGCCAGACTTGTTCATGTCATCACTCGCACACTTATTAGAAGTTGCTATTTCGCAAAGCTCATATTCATTCCCGCTGTCAGACTTGTTCATGTTATCACTGACACTCTGAGAAAGAGTTGTTTCGTAAATCCCATATTCATAAGCGCTGTCAGACTTGATCGTGTCATCACTCATACCATTAGAAGTTGTTGCTTCGTAAATCACATTTTCAAAAGCGCTGCCAGACTTGATCGTGTAATCACTCATACCATTAGAAGTTGTTACTGCGTTAGTCACATTTTTAGCGCTCTTAGACTTGTTCATGTTATTACTCACACTCTTAGTCGATGGATCTTGCACGGAACTGCCCTCTCCTTTGGTGCTAATCGTATACATACCAGTACGGAGGGTGCTGCTCAGGTGTCCCTCCTTCTTTCCTCTCACCAGGTTACTCACATGTTCTCGGACCTTCTCCTGGCGAACGACAAACAGCAGAAAGATGAGCAGGCCTTGAAGGAAGTTCACCACAGCAAAGATCCACTGGAAGGCGGAACTGGAAGCCTTGAAGATGGACAGCAGACCGAAGACCCAGGTCAGGCCCAGTAGGACAGAGACTGAGGCCATGTTCTGCAGGCGCTTCACGACCTTAGCTCGCTTGCTGTTACCCCCGGAGGCGTCCTTGACTTTGCTCGCACTGCAAGTCAGCTTACGGAGGACGAGCACGAAGACGACAACATTGAACAAGAGGATGATACCAATGATGAGCAGCTGGCCGTAGTAGAAAGCAGCCCCAGGCTTTAAGAAGCAACTGAAGGGTACAAATAATAACAATAATGTCAGCCCACAGTCTTCAGGCAGCTACAATCCTGGCCAAATCTCGCTTGGCCCCCAACCCCAAGGCCCCCGTTCAGTGTTGTCTCTCATTGTGCAGTGTGCGCTCCATCAGCTGGAGAGAACAACATTGACCAAGGGAGCGGGGAAGTGGGTGACCGTGGCAGGCTCAGGAAGTGTCCCAACCATTTTGGCCGGGATTGTAGTTAGAGACTGCAAATATGACTTCATCATTCGTGAAAATTGTAAAGGTCCACAGTGTCCTGTAGACCGTCACAATTGCATAAAAATCACGACATGACTAAAGTGGGTGAACTCATATCAACATTAAATACACAAAGACTTTTGTTAATTGAAATATTAAAAAAATAATAGTTTGCAAAGATTGGTGACCTAACAAACTAAAACAGGGATTATTTCATTTTGTTCAGTCCCCAATGGCTTCCCATCCTGTGAGATTTCATAGGTATAGTATGCTTCATATATACGAGTTTTACTTTTGTGAAGTCTGACTGAAAGATCCCATTAGACTAACCCTAAAATGCCATTTGGTATGATGTTTCCTGATGGATGCCTTGCCAACCCTACTATTCAGATTCAGACCTATTGTCACATGGCATGGCTGGTGTTGTCTTCCAAATAATCGGCTACCACCACGAGCAGCAAAGAGAATTATAATCTTCTTGGCACATTGAATGTCTGGTCAACCTGTGTGGGGCTTATTGCATTTTGTTGGCGAATCGTACTTTAATATTGAAACAAGCAGAACTAAAAAACCAAACCACCGATATCTTCAAAACAACTTGTTGGAAATTAGATGTATGCCATTCAAGTACCTGTGTTCATTATCGTACTGCTCATAATCCACTGCCAAAATCACAGTGATGACAAGTGCAGGAAATCCTGTAAGTTTAAACGGGAGTTTAATATTGAAATCATTTAGTTGATGACTTACACCCGCTCGTAAAGTGGGAGAAGCAAAGCTATATGATTATGCTAACAAGTGAGAAATCATACATGACAAAAATAAAATACTTAGATTTTCAATATGAATATGAGGATCAAACATATCCCAAATAGAGGTCCTGAAAATTCTACCGATAGATTATGCACGATCCATTGGATAAAGTGTACTTGAAAATGAAGTTTTATAATTGTCTCTACGTATGCAAGGTGCATAGATAAATGTGTGTTTCCATCTTATTGGCCTCCCGGGACAATTTTTGCAGGTACACCACATTTCCCCCATGTCTCATAAGTGATTTATGCTGTGATATACATACCCCAGGCTACAAGGGACGCTTTGATCATGAAGTGCTGCACGTCGGCATTGAATTTCTTGACCAACTTCAGGTACAGGCTAGCAGCCTCTACGCCCATCCATGCCACGGAGGTCAGGGCAAAGTAGTGCATCAAGACAGCTGCAGCAATGCATCCAGCGCGGGAGGAGGAGAAGGTCTTCTCGACACCGGCCAAGAAGACGAGGTACAGGAGCAGCAAGGAGCAGCAGAAACGGATGAGTATACGGCTGGCTGTCTTCGATCTCAACGACCTATCGTGGGATTAATGAGTTAACATTCTGTGACTCAAAATGACTTACTGCATGTCAGCTGAAATTGCAAAATATATGTGAGATGGTTCTTGTTGTATGTTCAGGCATGGGCAGGTCAAATGGAATACGTTGTCTATACCTCAATTAGACCTTGATTGCAATGAGCATTGTTAGCACACAAAGTTGCAAGGTGCATCAATTACCTTATGGCCGAATAGATGAGGATGGTGATAACGAGTGCCACGATAGAGATACTACATCCAAGCTTGCTGATGACATCCAAGGCAAAACTGGCATACTTCTGACCGTGAATGTTCTGCGAAGGAACACACAAAAGAATAACATTATGGGAAAGTGAAAGTATGCAAGCAAAGCTTCCATGTCACCCGAAATGCTGTAAAGTTCCCTTGAACATCAGATTTTAAAGAACCTCCTTTGAAAATGAGCCAACACCCTCTTATCTTCAACTAGTTTCCACCTCTAAATATGTCTCCACGTCCATGCACGACGATGCTTATCATTGTCCCTCATAGTACTAATCAATTCTTTATGGGAATATGCAACCCTCCAGGTAATTACACTTGAGAAGACTTACTGCCTGTCACAAATAAAGTGTTTATACTGTCTCACCATAAGGACAGCGAAGTTGGTGGCGTGATCACATAGGCATACAGTTCGCCCGTTGACGGTAGATCCCTTCCTGCAACCTTCAGTCGACCAATCACCGATGCCGTCACGAAGATTGAAGTCCCAGAAGACACATTGCTCCAATCGATTTGGGTCTTCATTGGGACCTGTCATCTGTTATAGACACTCGACTTTTACAATTATTTCAAGTTATAGTTATGAATCATGACAATGATTGTGACCAGTGCCAAAAAGTTCGTCTCAGCTGTGCAGCCCCAAACTAAATGTTGGTCTATTAGTAATGAGCACACTTTCTACAAGTACTATGAGATAGAACTTAATAACACAATAGCTTCACGCTGGAAGGAGCAATTCGCACTGGTGTTTTACATTGTTTTTATGAAACACCTGTTGGTACCCAAGCTGTATAACATTTATCTTTTGCTAGTAAGACGAGCTCAGACTAGTACTATGTACACATGTATACGCTATTATGAAATTTGCATTTCAATGAGTGCGTTTATGGTAAAAAAAAATACGGGCACGCAAAAGGAACCCCTATACGTCTGCAAAACAGTTTGGTCAGAGAATGCTTGTTAAGCCACTTGCATCTGGAAATGGGTCATTCATTAAATTTAGGGTCTGAAGTGTGACAAGTTTCTTGTCCCTGTTACCTTGGTACTCTGTAATTCGCCATGGCATCTTTCATTAAAATTAATTTCAAGTGATTCTTATTTGTCGGGTACAGGTAGTTTGCTATTCATAATCACTCTCGGACTACATCAGAATTATAGAACCATAGATGACAGATGTAACAGGGACAGGAAAAGAATGTGTACCCCAAATGTATAGAGTGACCCAGATATGAGCATTCATCAGACTATAAAATCCAATTCGTCAGTGCTGTAGTTAGTCTTGACTAACTTACTCGCAGGTTGAAGGCGTTTAACACGGGACTTTCTGGTGGGAGGCCATTGATGACAGTATTCAGCACACTGGCAGATACGATACGACTGCCGATGGTTCGGGGAGAGTCCGTGGACTGACTGTTGTCTATCAGTTTGGAGTGGAAGAGGTTGCTGCTGTCATACATGACAAAACTAATGGGCACAGCGCTACCTGATAGCAAGTCAAAACGAATAGAGATGAAAGCAGAGAATTATTAAAACAAAAATGTATGGTTTGGAACTCAATACTTCGTCACAACCATAGATGCAATTTTCTAAAACCGTACAGTCACAAAAAAGAAGATGACTTTCTATGAATATGTTTCCCTTTCAACATTTAGAAATGCCTTCACATTTGTGCATTATGTTTTTTTAAAGAATATAGATGAGGTTTTGGACATCTGTTGATGAATTCATACCTTCCAGAGTTACGACCAAGACAGTGCTGTATCAAAGAGCAGTGTATCAGAAACGTTAGAAGACAAATTCAGACGGACAGTAAAATGTCAATGACACTGCGTCTTAACTCTCCAAATCTATTTCCATCAGATAACTCCCTGGGAAAACAATTTTATTTGTTCTTTTGGATTTGCATTTTAAGTTTGTCCCAACTTGAAAATCCACCAGTGTTAAATGCCTAATTACCTGGAGGATGATTCTTCAGTATCTCTGCAGGGAGTTCTATGGATGCTTCCACCTCCTCCAAGGGGATCTCATCATCGGAACCTTGGTAAACACCAATGTCGTCATCGGCCAGGGAATCGCTGTCGTTTTCCCCAGAAATAGCCCCAAACCCGACCCCGTTGCTGAGTAACTCGGGGTCAAAATTCATTGCCACGACAGCGACGCTGGTCGTGATCTCGCTGACGTTCTTTCCTGCCGCAAGGACGTTGGAGATCTGCTTCTCCAAGGCTTGGACAATGCGCGAGGAGGAGTTGGCCACCCTTGACGTGTCGTTCAATTTCTTGGCATCAACTTGAAGGAGGTTGTTGACCACCTTGACAACACTCGCTGTCACCTGCGAAACAGTTACACAGATCTAGAATACATACAGCTCGCTCGTAAGATTGACAAACAAGCTTAAGGGTTGCACAAAAGGATGTATATATAGTATGCTTCGTGACTATGAATTAACTACAATGTAAAGAGTACCTTGTACCAAGTACCTTGTATAAAAACAAAGTATTATCTTAAGCGAATGGAACAATTTATTATATCGTTTTATATAACTTGCTATTTGAGTCTCGTGTGTAGCTTACCTCTGGCGACGTGTCTTGAATGTTCACAATGTTATCCAGAATGTCAGCGGCAGAGGCTACCGAACTGTCATCGACTGAAGACGTGTCATTGGTCAATGTGGCAAGAAATTCAGCTGTTTGCTCCACATTGTCTTGAGTCACCATGCTATTTATCTAAAGTAAGTAAAAAGTGAAAAAGAAAACGAAGAGATTATTAATTTGAGTTGGGGTTTAGGTTGAGATTGTTGTGCAAACAGAGTCAGTGATCGGATCGGTCAAAGGTAAGAGTAATTAAGTATACCATACCAGTAAAATGACAACCCGAAAGGGCGATGGGAAAAAGGGAACCTTTTTTTCTAAATATTGCTCTGGAATGCATTTACTCTTTGCAGAGAAGGGAACATGCAAAAGTAGCAATACTTATTTGACAAACAATCATTTCACTGAAATTTAACCCACTTTAATTGTCTTGGATGTTGCAAGTCTTGCATGATTCGTGACAGTCAACGTGAGGAAGTAGTCGAAGTTGCCATCAATGTAGGATGCATCTATGCGGATCCCGTAGTCAGCATCATAACAGTCGCCGATAGGGATACACAAGCACCTGTCAGAATTACACTTCTCAACGTCCTGAGGGGAAGGGGGGGGGGGAGAAAAAAGCAAGGTGTTTGTGATTGTAATGGGATCTTAGTGAAGTATAAATGTTGGAAAATTGTTTATAAACCATCAGAGCATTTCGAAAGACGCATACAAAGTATGTTTTTTTTTTGGTATCACGGATTTCTCTTACTGTAATGGAAAGAGTACTTTTCGAAAAACATGACTTTGCGAAATCTTGAGGCATTCTGTAAAAATGGAATGAAAATGAAATTGCCAGGGAGAATATGAGGAATTTGGGGAGGGCGAATTGTAAAAATATTTGAAAATATCAGTAAATAAAATGGATCCAACATTTTAATGTTCCTTTTCTTTTTTCAATTTCATATTAAAGATTTGATACTTTGCTTACTTTGTAGACCTAGCTCACTCAAGTTGGTAAAATATCTCAGTTGCCTTACCGTATTGACTTTCTTGGCTGGTACTGTCTGGCTGCCATGTTCCATCTCTGTGCCAGTGTGGTTGTCAAAGAGAAGCCACTCGATGGTCCTTACTCCGCTGTGAATGTCGTAAGTCCTAAATTTCACACTGATGATGAAGATAACATTTTAAAATTGATATTTATGTTATAAATATATAAAGAGCACTGTTAGCCAAAATGTTAACTAATGTCAAATCAAGAGCGCTGCTGAAAGCCAAAACGTAAGCTAAAACCAAATCAGGGGCGGCTTTCACATACCTTATGCCCGCCAACTTTGGCACTAACAACAAATCTTCAATGACTGGCGGAGATGAATCAGCGTGAACCAACACGCTGTCCCTCACAAAGTGATCGGCTAGGTCCCTGGCCTCCACCCAGAACCGAATGGAATCGCCGTCCATTAGGGTCAGGTTATAGCTCGCCTGTGTGTTTGTGCCTTCACTACTCCAGTTGCCAGAGTTGTCATCACTCATATTGACGGCGTTCCTTTCACCACTGTGGTCGATGTCGTATAAGACGCGGAATTCGGTCACACCGAGGGCGTTAGGGACGGCTGCACGGCCACGCTTCCCAAAGTGCTGATCATAATCTACGAGAAAAACGTTATTAGACATAAATACAAATCTATTTGTAAAAGCTATGTTAAGTGTGGTAGAATGTTTTAATTAAGTTACAAGTATAAGTAACGAATTACTGAAATGCAAGTTGTAGAGAAAATAATTTTTGTACATTACATGTATTGTACGCAAACCATGCAATTTAGCCACCAACAGATTTCCAAACAAAGATGATAGTTTCGACTATCTAGACTACTTCCTTCGCGGAAAATTATCCCCGTTGTAAAAACATCATTATTACAAGACAGGAATATCTACATTGTAAATTATACAAACTCCAAAAGGCCTACCCAATATAACGAAATTCTGTTTATCGATAGACTGCTTGCAGACGCGTTCGATACTTGACGCGCGAAGGTGCGCGACGCCATGTTATGGGACAAAATGTGCATAGATAGATATACGCTTGTCCCACAACATGGCGTCGCGCGCCTTTGCGCGTCGATTATCGAACGCATCTGCAAGCGGTCTATACATGTACAACGATTTTAAAGAGTAAATCGCATGAGAACTGAATGTACTAAACTCACCAGCATCAATGGTACCACCAACATAGGACCCAATGGGCTTCAACCATCCCTGGTTGAGATGACGTTCATTGATGAAATGCTCTGTCCAATCAAGCTGCACGGATGTCGCTCCTTCGCTGGGGTCTAGATTGGTCAACCAAACGAAGTCGGTTTCTTCAGTCGCTGAGACCACGCACAGGCGGAAATTAGTCTGAATAGTGACGTCGTCTGAATCGTCGTCAAAGAACACGAAGCGTCTGCTCTGTTTGACATTGCCGGCATTGTCGACAGCACTGAGGATGACAGAATAAACGCCTGTAAGGAAGGAGAAAAGAAGAGCATAGAGATCTTTAAATAATGTTTCATTCCACCGTATGATTCTGATTTAAAGATTATACATATAACAAGCCGCATTAAAAATATATTTACATTTTTTTTTTACATAACTCTCTTATACGACTGATGATAAAAAATCTAACAAAGTATTTTTTTTTTAAATTCAGTATCTGAAATTACCCAAGTAATCTAAGTCACACACTCACAACGTGCGATTTTAACATTATATCTGCGAATGGGTAACTAATAATGGCCTTTAACGTTTTCAGATAGAGAGAGGCACAAACAACCAATTATTTAATGGTGTTCATTTTGAATATACAATCGCCAAACCTAACCTACCAGGATTAGGCAAAGTGACATTTTGACCGGATCCTGCTGCTCCGGAATAAACGGCGGGGTCGTCAAAACTTTCTTCCAGCTCGTTGCCTTGGCTACCTGACAGCTGTCGCACTTCAAGGTCGTATTCTTTTATGCCAGCGAGATCGTCTGTCCAGCCTTGCCAAGATACATTAATTGTTTCCTATATATCATAAAAATGAAGTTAAAAAAGATTTAGATTATACAGGGAAACAACTAGGAGTCAGTTATTGAGTAAACTCGAGCAGGACATAGTGTTCCTAATTGTATTCAGCATGCTGAGAACAACTTTGACCATTGGGAACACATTACATTGTGGACTTCTATAGTAATACAATGGCTAACAATTATAGAACCAAATAGTATGCTGAGGCTCAAAAAAGCAGTTAATATAACTTAACATGGTTAATATGGCTGCAACCGTGCATTAAATGTAAACCGATGGGCACACCAAGGCCAATAATGAGCACTCTGGCTCCAAACTATGACACACCAAGACCAACCCTTGGCACACCAGGCCCCAACCATGGGCACACAAGGCCAAACCATGATCACACCCGATCACGACTACGGCACAACGAAGTCCAACCATGGGGCAGGCGCCATGCAACCATTGGCACACCAGGCCCAACCATTGGCACACGTGATCCCCAAAACGGGCACATCAAGCCCACCAATGAGAACAAAGGCCCCAAAACTGGTGCACCAGGCCCAACCACGGACATACTACCTAATATTCAACTTTGAATGATTGTACCATATTTGAAACTGAGATGTAACGGATGCTATCGATATATCTTCTAGAACTGCCACATGACAGATACAGAAAGTAGCATAACTCACGGTTGGACTTATGAAAGTCACTTCAAGCATAGAGCAAGGAACTTGTGCTTCAAGCATGAGGACAGAACCACGACTTCAAGAGGGGTTATGTATTATTCACTGAGTATATAAGCTATTTTAATCGCCTGGTGATAATACTATAATAGGCCTACAGTAAGTCATTGTTTCGAATAAGCAAAATGCTGGGATAAAATTCTTCCATCAACTTGGTTTTCTACATTCATCACCGAACAAGCTACACGAGAATCTAACCTGTGTGGTAACATCATTCTGTGTATCCAGCATGGTCCTCCGGCATCCTCTGCCAACATCCACACAGTGGTAAGGGTCAACAAAGTCAAAGGTGAACGTTGAGAAATTGGAGGATGTACTGCCATTGTAGTAGCGTGTAATGATACTGCTTGAATGGTCCCTGTCATAGAGTTCCATGTAGCCGCCACTTGTTGAATGTACATCACATCTCAGTCTGTAAAAGAGAGATTGTGAATTCAGAAAAATGAACATATACATATTCCCTAATTGAGAAAGAATGTACGTACGCTCGGCTTTCACAACTTGTTCAGTCAAATAGTTAAAGTGACGAAACATTGTCTTAGGCATTCCCCTTACCCAGTACGATGTCCAAACTCATTTTTCATATCAGGGTAGTGATTAAGTTCATAATATAACTAAATTATCAGAGTTTTGGCCAGGAACGTAAGTATTGACAAACGTAGGTTAGGAACTTGGGACCTACACATCTCCTGTTGTTGGTGTCCACGCGTTGTAGTCTAAAGTGAAGGTGATTTCACAGGATACCAGGTCTGTAGCAGGATTGTTTTGATCGGACGAATTTCCAGATGTCGATGTTGTACAATTCGTCGAGCCAACTGAATATGTAACATTCTGATCCCCTAGTGCATGGGGGAAATAAAAAAAATTTGAAGAGCCCAGCAAGAATGAAAATGCCGTTGATTATTCGACGGTATTTTTCTTAAATGTCGTTTAAATTGTTGCGTACATAAAACACAAATGACACACAGTCCTCGTTTGCGTTTAAACACACTATAGACATTGATTTTGTCAGTTACTTTTGTACTTCACTAACATCCCTGGCCATCAAAATGCTTTCCATTTGGCTCTTAACACGTATACCCACAAGGATAAACACATGGAAACCCTATTAATTAGTTCATATGTTATCAAATTAAAAAGGACTTGCCATTCTTAACTTACGATTCACAACGGCTGTGGCTCGTGCCTCCACCACACCAAGCCCAATGCTTTGGATGTATGGATGTCCACCGCCACTAAGGTCTGGTAGACCAGTATGATTGTAAGAACTTGTCAAGTTGATCCTCAAGCTCACAAAGTCTTGTACGTTGGTGTAGACAGTGTCTGTACTGCCCTGGACGGTAGGGGATTCTAGAGTTGTTGTCCCATTGATCAGGGTGGCATGGTGCTCGGATATGACTGGTGCTTGACTCATACCCACTGAATGAAAAGGCACAATTCAGTTACATTGCCAATCATGGGTACTAAAAAGAGACGACAATGTAAAATAAAAACAAAAACTAGCGCGGTTCACAATAGTTTCACCAGCTTGTACCTATGATGCGCCACTCAGTTCCCAACTAGATCGAATGCGGATGGGTCTCTTCCAGTATCCCGCTGATTTCACGGGTTTATGCTCCATCTAAAATAAAGGATTCCTGGTCATATTGTGGTATAGTTTTTGACATTTCAAGAGTGATTCATAGTTGTAAAAGTAATCTGACCCTTAAGGAATTCAATTCGGAGAGAGAGAGAGAGAGGTGTAAGGAATTAAGGGGAGATTTTCAATTTTTCTCAGCATGCCTATTATGATTTAAATCAGTAGTTACCGCAATAGTGTAGGGCCATCAACCTCAGTGGGTTATGGCAAGTTCACACAAGCCTTCCAGGCATAAAATTTATGATTTATAACGCAGTGAATTAACTTAAGTAAATAAAATTAAGAGCTCAAAATATAATACTTGCATTTATGTTTTTATACCTGAAATGACAGCCACTCCTTAATGCATTCAACCTCCAAAAGCGATAATGAATAGCATGAACTACCTACCCAACAAATGATAACTTGTATAATAATAACCCATGTATCAGGGACAGGGAAAATGCCACACTTTGGACCCTGAAATTATAAAATGACCAATATAAATTATGAGTAATAAAAGTTGCTTAAGAAGCCATATTGATATTTACCCAGTGATATCTACATTGAAATAACCTGGAACTTAACAACTTTATTTTGCCCTTCAACGTCGGTGAAGGGTAAAACCTAATTTGATACTTTATTATTGATAATCGAAAATTAAGAGGTAGTTTAAAATAACGCCACAAACTCACTTGTTCTGCAGTCAGTGCCTGAGAATCCACTGCTGCATGTGCACTGGGCATTTGTGCATGATCCCGGGTAGCAGGCATTGCTGTCAATCCTCCATGAACATTGCTCTGGCAAAATAGGAGGAAAAAATTGCACATCACAAAAATGCGACGCAACGAAGGAATTAATTTTTTTACCAAAATATATATATTTTTTTGGTACAAAAAAAAAGCAACAGCAGCGGTCGATGGGGAAAAAAGATGACATAACGAGATTCAAGTTGAGGAAGAGATTCAGGATGAAGTTTAGGATGAGAATGACGTTACAGATGAGGTTACGGATGAGGAAGGGTTGAGGATGAGGTTGAGGTTCAGGATGAGGCTGATGATGAGGTTGATAAAGAGGTTTAGGATGATGTTAAGGATAATAGAGACGTTAATGGGATGAAGTTAGGGATGATAAAGAGGTTATGGATGAGGGTGAGGATGATAAAGAGGTTAAGGGTGAAGTTGAGGATGATAAAGAGGTTTAGAATGAGGTTGAGGATGATAATGAGGATGAAGTTGGGGAAGAGGTTCGGGTAAAGGTTAAGGTTGAAAATGAGGATGAAGATGAGGCTGAGGTTGAGGTTGAGGGCGAGGTTTAGGGTGAAGTCCAGGATGAGATTTGGGATGAAGGTGATGATGTAGTTGAAGATGAAAACTTACTAATGCATTGCCTCATGTTATCACTCTTCTTGTAGGCTGATCCCAGCGCTGACCCATAATCACCATCGCATCGATCACATCTCTGGTCCGAGGAAGTGCTACAAAATACCTCAAGGCAGTTTGCGATGGCTGTACACCCTACACAAAGTAGATGCAATGTTTATTTTTTATCAGTTGGAGACTTAGACTTTGAAAACTTAAATCTAGATCAGGTTGTCATGATAAAACAGGATATGTTTAACTTCAATTTCAATTTCTTGGCTTAAGAACTCATTTGACATGTCTCTACCCAGTAACCTGATAGCAAAAGTGAAACCGTCGTCCACATTAATGTGAAAAGCTGTTATACACTCTCCCAAAGTCCAAATTTTAAATCACTAAAATTGGTCGGTCCAAACACTTAGTTGGCTATGTCCTTTTGAGACAAAAGTCCGAGTAACTGTTCTAAGTGGATCAAAAATGATGTCATGGATAAGAGCAGTTAATGTCATTAAAGCTTTTTCGTGATCACTCACGATTGCATCGTGGAGAGTAGAAGCCCCGGTTACAGTTGCTGCAGTAGCTAGGCCTTGTGCAAGCCCCTCCGTTGGGACACCAATTAACGTTGCCAAAACAAATGGCTAAGAAAGAAAAACAAGAATGAAATGTGTGATCTTTGCTGAAAACTCAGTTCAAATTCAAGACGATATTTGCTAGTCGTTTAAGACCAAACCATGGAAAATGGTAGTGAAAAGTTTTGGAGTGAAAACCAGGCCGCCTTGATCGGTGACCTGATTGGTCTGATTCTTTTGGTATCAATTAACGAAATTAACTTACGAATTGTGCAACCAGTCGATGTACCTCCGGTCCATCCTGTGCAACACCGGTAGCAGGTTAAATCCCTAAACAAAAAGTATGAAACGCTTGTATTTGAAGCAAAATACTTATGAGGCTACGCCTCGTCCGCTTCGCGGATTTTGCCGGCGATCAACTCACATATACACACACAATGAACACATTCGTTTTTGCATAGCTTCTAGATAGTTTTGTGGACATCCCTTCTTTTCTTGTGCAGTAACTGCACAATGTAAAAACGTTGCAATGATTTTTTTTTAATGTTCTACATTTTCCGCGCAGTATAGCCGGAATGCCTTTTAGATTGTTTGAGAAATATGGACAACGTGTGGATCTGTGCAAGTCTACATAGCGTCCAAAGATCCTGCATCGTGGGGACAGTGTTCACATGTCCACCCAGCGACAGTTTGATGACAAATACAGCTGGATAAAACTTAAAGGAAATCCAGTCACACTATATATAGTTTGTTGGAATACGAGGGTGAAATTGGGGAAAATGGTAATAATAAAAACGAGGACGATGCATGATGGAATAACGTTTTTAGGCCTTGCCTCGGCCCTTATTGAAAAAAAAACAGAACTCAGCAGTGTAGATGATACAAACCGGTATCTGGTACATCTGCTCCAGCCAAAAGCACCGCAGCTTGTGGTGTAACGTTGGTAGCAGCTATACCCACACACCGTGGCCCTGGATGACAAAAAAGGAGAGAAATCAATCATTAATTGTATTTTAATTTGATTTATGTCACTGTGCTACACAGGCAGTTATCGGGTTTATTGGAAGTGACCTCTAGTACTACATGTATACCGACGTAATTTGAAACTTCTGCTTTGTTTTCCGTCAACAACAGGAATTCGTGGGGAAAAGGGTTTTGAAAAATCGAAATGGGGCGGTGGAGGGGAGTACACACTTTGACTGTGGGCCGCACTGTCAGGAGAAAGTTAAGCAAAAAACGTACATGTATATATTTGCGTTCCTTTACCAAAGTGCTAATTTTGGTGTTTTTCGAAGTTGGACAATTTCGGCTCTTGCGACGTTTACAATGTACGGCTGTAGGTCCCTTACAAGCAGTTGTTAGTGTTGATACTCAACACATATTAATTGGCCTTAAAATCATTTGAAAACTATACCTTTTAATACTGAAATACTACAACACAAATACTATTCGTAAATCAGAACCGTCTGCATGTATGTAGATGAGATTGTATTGGACAAAAAAATGGAACAACACTCACTGTGATAGTGGTAAATTAATGGCAAGGGCGATTGTGACCCACCAAAACAAGAACATGATGTCCGATGTCCCAATATCTGGCCAAACCTGTAAAAGACGTAGTTTTGTTGGATATTAAACTTTTTGCACAACTGCACATATCACCGTAGTCTCAATTGATCTCGTGCACGTGGCTCTCAGCATGAAAACATACGTATGAAAGTCCAAGAAAAAATCAGTGTGGGATTCCAATTTGTACATCCTCTGACGAAGTTATATCCTTTTTAATCAAAAAAGTCTGGTGTCATGTTTGCTTAATTAAAAAGCCGCCATCCGTTGATGTGTCGTGCGCGTGTATGTTTGTACAAAATCATTGTCTTACACCCGGGACCAGAAAGTTAATTTTTTAACACATTAAACCTGTTTCTTTCATCGAAGTCATTCACCAATCACGGAGACACACCTAAAATGTTGTCCAATTTTTTTTTGACAATGAAATTTTAGTTGTTTTTTTTTTAAATCGAAAAACCATCACTTAATCAAATTGGCATTAGTGTACACATAATGAGGGGACCGTGAGTTGCAGTACAAACCCAATTAACAGTTTAATAAATGAAGACAAAGGTATATATAAGGCCAAAGGAACGCCTTGAATTAAAGAATAGATGACAGTCTTAACTCACCTTGCAACGGTCGTGCTGCTTCAACAAAGCGCCGCAACTCTCTGGTAAGTCCGGCCCCGCACAGGTCTTTATTACGTTGGCAATAGAGCCTGAAAGTGCACCATTTTCTCTTTGAGCTTTCGGGCCCTCGCGCGGCTCGCCAATAGGCATTTTACACGGGGTTACCCTTTCTCTTGCTATAATATTGGGCAGCTTGATTTCTTACGGTACCGTAATCACCCCAAGAAATATTCATGTTGGAATTTCATCTTGGCATTGCACAAGAAAAATGATGAGAAATGAGTTGGAGATAGGTAAAAACGAATGTTACTTACGACCTTTTCATATCCGGCATATTCGTACCTAGGTCTCCTTGTTCGATAACTTTTTTCACATCGCGTACTTGCTTGACAACGAAAATGATAACAACGCGAAGAGTTATCAACCTTCAGCCGATGGATTCTAGATTTAATCGGGATTGCTCGAATATGGTTTTTATCAACGGTTATTGAATTTCTTTGTAAATGGTCATGAGCCCTTCAAGTTTATTTAAAAAAAAATGCATGTCCTAAACGACATTTTAGTCTCCTATTTAAGTTTAAATTTCAATCTTCGTACGAATACACCGAAATCCACTAGTCCACATGTATTTTAGATTTTCGGAAGTGAGCGGTCGATTTTTGGCACAATATTTCTCTTTCGCGTCAGGCGATTTTTCAGTTCCTTATTGAGATGCTTGTAATAACTTTACAAAGGCCTTTTTTGAGGGTGATATTCTTAAGAAATCAAACTACCAAAATAATTGTACATTTTGAATGTTTGCACGTTAGTTTTCCTAATTAAGGGGTCTACAAAAGTTCAGGAAACAAATGAACCAAATGTGGAAGGCTCATCCAAAGCGCGCAGGGTCATGAACACTGGGTTGTCATTATATGAACAAAGGAGCCAGTCACATAATTGAGCCTGAGAGGAACAAATAATTATTACCAGAACAATACACAAAAGTGATGCATAAAGCGCTACTCACCGTCTAACGGGTGAAAGTTGGAGTGTTTACCCTCCTGATGACCCAAGCTTTACCAAACAGCACATACAAAGAATGAAAAGTCAAGACTTTCGGCAGCTAATTGTAAAATTTCTCCTCTATGTCAGACATAGTACAAATTTATACTACAGCACTCCTAGTCTTGAGGAAATAAATATCGGATGGCAGGTTTGAAGCACATTATTTTCTACAGTGTAAGAGTGACCCCATACTGAACCTCTTCTATGCGATTATCATAATTATTTGGCACCATACGAGAGTGTCTTTGCTGTAATACACCCCAACAAGGAAACAAACCAACGCCTAGGCCTAATGTAAACGATTGGCAAACTCAAAACTAGTTGAAAGAGGCTCAGTTCCAGCTCGTATATCGAGGATTTGCACAATTTCCGGGTTTATCCTAATATTCCCTAATCTGTTTATAAATTAAAGCGGGCCTATGCTTTATTTTAACTGTCCCCACTCCGGAGTTAATTGTCAACCCTGCATAAAGCGCATTACGAAACTACTCAACATCCAACACCGAAACTTCTCAACGGCGGTTCTGAATGATAATTAACTCTCAATGGCTACGTGCAGAGAGCGTTTTAGTTATAGCCGTAAAACTATCCGGAGTGAAACTTTGGATGATTATCAACCCTGCATAAAGTGCACTACAAAACTACTCAACAGAAAAGATAATATAATTAAGGGATGTTATTTCATGGAAACCAAGGGCTTCTAAATATTATTGAAACTCTACTGTGATGTATACAGACAACATTTTACAAATAATCTCATTCCAATTCCATGTTTCTTAATTCCTATACATACATCATTTTATAAAAATTGCATCTACCAAGAAATGCAAGTAGTTTACTTGTAGCGGGGGGGGGGGGGTTCAGCAGCAAAAAATGCTGAAATGTAGACAGGTTTGTTTCCTCCGGACACTTGTCCTCCAAAAATCAATAGGTGAGGGGGGGGGGGGGGGGGGGGCTCGTACCATACTTTCAATAATTTGGGGCGCTGTTCAAATCCGAGGATTATTAACACTATATTATGGAATAGTTTACAAATACCCCCTAACCTAGCTGGCTCTGTCTGTATTTTGTGCACAGGCGGGCACTATTACCAGTTTTTTAGGGGGGGGGGGGTGTCAGAGCGGGGGAGGGGGGGGGGTCGCCTTATTTTTTTAAATATTAATTTCTATAAAAAAAAAACCCTATTTTTTTTGACAGAGCTGGGGGGGGAGGGGTATCCGCGCCTGTAAACGTCTGCAGCACACAAATCCAGGGAATTTAGTTACAAAAACACTTGGTTCAAATTGAAACCTTTTGGACTCCTTTCGGGTTTTTGGTAGTTTATTGTTCTTTTTTTTTATTTTTTATTTTTTTTATTGGGTAAACAGATTGCAAGTTAGATTTGTGTCTTCATTATATTGGGTATATTAATTGAATTCGCGCACCTAAAATATATAAGGCCCAACAATGTGCATGCTCGACAGTCAAGTAGCGCCCCCTGCCGCTTATAACTTCCAAGTATGGATCGCCGATAGAGTGCGCCAGTTTGTTTCGCTCGTATCCGGTTTGCAGGGCGGGGGAACGGTACGAGCGAGGCTATTTGTGTGTGTAAAGGTGGCAGCAGATGGAGTTGCGACTTGACTTTTACACACTGCTCACAACGCGTGAACGCCTCCAAGTGAAACTGTGGTCAAGACGTCACCACGAAACGTCTTGGTCCTGGCTTCCTGCTGCTACAATCATGCGGGGAGGTCTTCAATGTGAAGACTGTGTCAAAGACTCAATATGAAACACGCGACGGGTACCAGTCGTCAAAGAGGGACTGCCTCAAAGGATTATGTGATATATATCACGAATTCATACATTGATCCATTTGGAATTCACTCAAGGTAAGTGCATGCAGTTTTAAAAATATCAGTTTAGTATCAAGACGAGGCCCTTCAGAGGACATTTCGAACGGTATACACTCTGCAGATTATATATTCAAATAAGGTTCATTTCATACCTTCGACTATAAAAATATCATGACAAGGGCAATATTTTGCATTGCTGTTCATCAACAATTTTTTATTTCTGAGTAAAACATACACACGTTTACTAAAATTAAATGTATTATTTTACAACAAGATTGATTATATGAAGGTTTTGCAAATTATAAAAAGTATGTTAAAACCAGACGGACATTTCTTCCCCATATACATGTGTACAAGACACGTTTGTCACTAACAATATCAAACTACACCGATTTTGTTCATGCCATGGGCGTAAACCCGGGTTGGGGGGGGGGAGGATATATTCCACCACTTTTTGAGAAGGGCCATTGGATCATCCCAGATCAAGAAACAAGAGAAAAAATGCCGGGTTTGAGGTTATATTGTAGCTTTCTAACAGTCGAAATAAAATTCAATAGGTCTGCAAATTGGAGAACAAACGCTACAAAAATTAAAATTAATGTACAATTTTGATGTACCACTCTAAAGGAGTGTGGAATAAATGTCTTCTTGAATTGAATTGAAATTAAATAAGGTTAACTGAGGGACGTATGTGCGTAAGTTTGCGTAAGATGTACATTTGTATCATGAACAGCGCCCCCAGTGTCATGTGTTGTCAAGCCCCCCCCCCCCCAAGCTTTTAGAATTTCTACGGCCAGGCAATTTGAGGATTTTTGGTCATCCCCATCCCCCCACTCGCCGACATGGATTTACGCCACTGGTTCGTACTTTGACTCCAACCCAACGTCTCATCCAACACGCCCCCTTGAAAAATATTGGACTTTGATACGTTACCCTTCCCTGTTTAGAAAATCTTGGATCCCCCACTGGTTTAAGCCATTTTACATTGTTCACCGTCATAAAACAGCTTAGGCAAATACTGGCTCATTTTTAAAGCCTTAGAACCTAACAATCATATCGGCTTTCCTTCTGACATGTATGGAATTCTAAAGACAAGTCTTTCACATTGTAACGGTTCAAAATGTCTGATAAAAATTCATTCAAATTCCATTGAAGGCACATAAAAAACGTATCTAAAAGAAATTGTCTTGATATCCGATTAATGACTTACATACAAGAAGAGATATTTTCAAACAATTATTAAATCATGTAGGGCCTACTTTAGACAACTCTGAAGTTCTCGTGGTGAAATATAAGTGTAATTTTCTTCCCTTAAAAACAAAACATTCACACCGAATCAGAACTCAATCATCTGAGTATTATGTATATCTCTCTTCAGCAATTATGTTTAAAACTGTGTACAAAGGATATCATTAGGCCAAAAAAAAGTCTCCGGTTTCTGGTATGGAGCTTTCCCAAAAAGTGGTGCGGCGACGCGGCTTTTTTTTTTACCAGTTTTTTTTTTGCTTCAAATGTCGGCTGATCACTGTAAATGATGCCCGACTAATTTTAGTGCAAATATTATGGGAGACCAGAGAGGCCACATAAAGCTTAATTTCGATCATAACCCCATTTTAAAACACGTTAAAATTGTGCAGCAGCAGGATTCCAGTCAAACCAGTGAGTTTGGCGGGTTTGAGACATCATCTTTCATTGAAAAAAAACCTTTTTCATTTTGCCGATGCGCATGGCTACGGCGAAGCGCGCATACCAGAACCCGGAGACTTTTTTTTTGCCTTATGTGACTGTATGTGAATTTTCGTTATACACCACAAATCCAGTAAAAATATTTGATTAAATACTTAGTATATGCGGCCTTAAAGTAAATATAAAATGATATATAAATGAACTAGCACTACTGTTTATAGCAACCAAATATCAAACTCAATCATCTGTGTATTATGTATATCTCTCTTCAGCAATTATGTTTAAAACTGTGTACAAAGGATATCATTATGTGACCGTATGTGAATTTTCGTTATACACCACAAATCCAGTAAAAATATTTGATTAAACACTGAGTATATACGGCCTTAAACTAAATATTGAATAATGTATCAATCAACTAGCATCACTTCAGTTTTTATACCAAACAAATATCAAGCAGTTTACTTTTCCTGGTTTACTTTTCCCAAAAAGCAATTAAATGCATCCCAGTGAGAAAAACACACCTTACAATAAACATTAAAACAAACGATATCCCAACATTTTCTTCCAAAGCTAAATTCAAGTTCTTCGGTTATAAATGTACTACAAAATTTGTACCAACCACAACCTTTCCGAACAGTAAATGAAACCTCACTTCGCTATTGTTCAGAAACTTACTTTTTCTTCTTGGTTAGATAAATCGTTCATTATAAACGTCATTCAACTACATGTACTTCAAAGATTATACAAGTTTGTAAAGTGATAACCTTTAATTTCAAACACTCCTCACCCATGTAAAATTAATAAAATGTCAGCAAAAGTATAAAGTTGTATAGGCCTTTATCAAAATCAAATTTTGTTGGGAAGATCTGTGCGTATATGCTCATAGCCCAAACCTGACATTTTTGTTTCGACCAGAAACCCGACACGTCCAAAAATCAAAATGTCAAGAATCACATCATGGTGGGGAAATTAAGTAGGCCTAGATTGTTTCGTAAATCGCATTGTCATAAGCGCTGTCAGACTTGTTCATGTCATCACTTGCACTCTTAAAAGTTGGTGTTTCGTAAGCTTCATATTCATTAGCGCTGCCAGACTTGTCCACGCTATCACTCACACTCTTATTAGAAGTTGCTATTTCGCAAACCTCATATTCATTAGGGCTGTCAGACTTGTTCATGTCATCACTCGCACACTTATTAGAAGTTGTTATTTCGCAAAGCTCATATTCATTCCCGCTGTCAGACTTGTTCATGTTATCGCTCGCACTCTTAGAAGTTGCTGTTTCGTAATCCTTATTTTCATAAGCGTTGTCAGAGTTGCTGATGTTATCACTGACACTCTTAGAAAATGTTGTTTCGTAAATCCCATTTTCAAAAGCGCTGTCAGACTTGATCGTGTCATCACTCATACCATTAGAAGTTGTTGCTGCGTTAATCACATTTTTAGCGCTCTTAGACTTGTTCATGTTATCACTCACACTCTTACTAGTCGATGGATCTTGCACGGAACTGCCCTCTCCTTTGGTGCTAATCGTATACATACCAGTACGGAGGCTGCTGCTCAGGTGTCCCTCCTTCTTTCCTCTCACCAGGTTACTCACATGTTCTCGGACCTTCTCCTGGCGAACGACAAACAGCAGAAAGATGAGCAGGCCTTGGAGGGAGTTCACCACAGCAAAGATCCACTGGAAGGCGGAACTGGAAGCCTCGAAGATGGACAGCAAACCGAAGACCCAGGTCAGCCCCAGTAGGACAGAGACTGAGGCCATGTTCTGCAGGCGCCTCACGACCTTAGCTCGCTTGCTGTTACTCTCGGAGGTGTCCTTGATTTTGCTCGCACTGCAAGTCAGCTTACGGAGGACGAGCAAGAACACGACAACATTGAACAGGAGGATGATACCAATGATAAGCAGCTGGCCGTAGTAGAAGGCAGCCCCAGGCTTTAAGAAGCAACTAAAGGGTACAAATAATAACAATAATGTCAGCCCACAGTCTTCGGGCAGCTAGGTAGAGACTGCAATTATGACTTCGTGTTATGAGGACAGACAATGGCTTCCCATCCAGTGAGATTTCATCGGTATAGTTTATGCTTCATAACGATTTTTACTTTTGTGCAGTCTGACTGAAAGATCCCATTAGAGTAACCCTAAAATGCCATTTGGTGTGATGTTTCCTGGTGGATGCCTTGCCAACTCTACTATTCAGATTCAGACATGTTCTTATACATGGTGGCTTGTGTTGTCTCCCAAATAATCGGCTACGGAGCAAAGAGAATTATAATCTTCTTGGCACATTGAATGTGTGGTTAATAACCTGTTTGTGTGTTTCAATATTGAAACAAGCAGAACCCCCAAAATCCAAACACCGATATCTTCAAAACAACTTGTTGGAAATTAGATGTATGCCATTCATGTACCTGTGTTCATTATCGTACTGCTCATGATCCACTGCCAAAATCACAGTGATGACTAGTGCAGGGAATCCTGTAAGTTTAAAAGGGAGTTAAATATTGAAATGATTCAGTTGATGACTTACAGCAGCTCAAAAAGTGGGAGAAGCAATATAATTATGTTAACAAGTAAGAAATCATGTCATGACAAAACTAAAATATTTAGGTTTTCAGTATGAATTTGAGGATCAAACATATCCCAAATAGAGGTCCTCAAAATTTTAGTGATAGATTGTGCATAATCCATTGGATAAAGTGTCCTTGAAAATCAAGTTTTATAATTGTCTCTACGTATGGAAGGTGCATAGATAAATGTGTGTTTCATCTCATTGGCCTCCCGGTACAATTGGTGCAAATACACCGCATTTCCCCTATGTCTCATAAGTGATTTATGCTGTGATACCTACCCCAGGCTACAAAGGACGCCTTGATCATGAAGTGCTCCACGTCAGCATTGAAGATCTTGACCAACTTCAGGTACAGATTAGCAGCCTCCACGCCCATCCATGCCACGGAGGTCAGGGCAAAGTAGTGCATCAAGACAGCTGCAGCGATGCATCCAGCGCGGGAGGAGGAGGAGGTCTTCTCGACACCTGCCAAGAAGACGAGGTACAGGAGCAGCAAGGAGCAGCAGAAACTGATGAGGATACGGCTGGCTGTCTTTGATCTCAACGACCTATTGTTGGATTAATGGGGAAACATTCTGTGACACAAAATGACTAAACTACCCGTCAGCTGAAATTGCAAAACATATGTGAGATTAGTAAGATTTGAAGCTTGAATGAAAGTTGTGCGGAAACACCATATGGGAATAATTTTTCAAACTAAGAGAACGGTTCTGAAAAGAACCAGATAGTTATAAACTCTGGTCTACAATTTCATACCTCTGGTCCTTTTCAGAACCATTCTCTTAATCTGAGAAAGTATTCCCACATGGTGTGTCCAAATGTGAGATTTTTGTTGAGGCATGAGCAGGTCAACAGGAATACACTGTCTACACCTCAATCAGATCTTGCTTGAAATCGGCAATGTTAGCACACAAAGTTTCAAGGTGCATCAATTACCTTATGGCCAAATATATGAGGATGGTGACAACGAGTGCCACGATAGAGACACTACATCCAAGCTTGCTGATGACATCCAAGGCAAAACTGGCATACTTCTGACCGTGAATATTCTGCGAAGGAACACACGAAAGAATAACATTATGGGATAGTGAAAGTATGCATGCAGAGCTTCCATGTCGCCCGAAATACTGTGAAGTTCCCTAGGGCATCGGATTTTTAAGAGCATCCTTGAAAACAGAGCCAACTAGTTTCCACCTCTAACTATCTCTCTACGTCCATGCATGATGCCAATCATGCCCCTCATATCCTAGTACTAATCAATGCTATTTGGGAATCCTCCAGGTAATCACACTTGAGAAGTTTAGGCCCTACTGTCAGTCAAAAATAAATGTATAGATTGTCTTACCACAAGGACAGCGAAGTTGGTGGCGTGGTCACATAGGCATACAGTTCGCCCGTTGACAGTAGATCCCTTCCTGCAGCCCTCAGCTGACCAATCACCGATGCCGTCACGAAGATTGAAGTCCCAGAAGACACATTGCTCCAATTGATTTTGGTCTTCATTGGGACCTGTCACCTGTTATTGACACAAAGTTATTTCAAGTTATAGTTATGAATCATGAAAATGACTGTGATCATTGCCAATAGTTTCGTCTCAGCAGTGCAGCCCTAAATTGAATGTTAAACTATATTAATGTTCACACTTTCTGTAAGTACTATGAGATGGAACTAAATATTAGCTGCAAGCTGGAAGGAGCAATTCGCACAGGTGTTTTTACATTGTTTTTTCTGAAACACCCGTTGGTCCCCAAGCTGTATAACATTTATATACAGCTATATCAGTCTTACCTGACTTACTCGCAGGTTGAAGGCGTTGACCACGGGACTTTCTGGTGGGAGGCCATTGATGACAGTATTCAGCACACTGGCAGATACGATTCGACTGCCGATGGTACGGGGAGAGTCCGTGGACTGACTGTTGTCTATCAGTTGTGAGTGGAAGAGGTTGCTGCTGTCATACATGACAAAACTAATGGGCACGGCGTTGCCTGATAGCCAGTCAAAACGAATAGAGATGAAAGCAGAGAATTATTAAAACAAAAACGTATGGTTTGATACTCAATGCTTCGTCCCAACCATAGATGTGATTTTCTAAAGCCATACAGTCACAAAACAGATCAATTTCTAAATATCTATTGATATGTTTCCTTTTCAACAGTTACAATTGTCTGTACATTTGCGTATTTTTTTAAGAATATAGATGAGGTTTTGGACATTTCTTGAGAAATTGACATTTTTCAGAGTTACAGCCTAGACAGTCATGCTGTATCAAAGAGCAGTGTATCAGAAAGTTTAGAAGACAAATTAAAACGGACAGTAAAATGTCAATGACACTGCGTCTTAACTCTCCAAATCTATTTCCATCAGATAATTCTCAGGGAAAACTATTGTATTTGTTCTTTTGGATTTGAATTTTAGGTTTGTCCCAACTTGTAAATGCCTAATTACCAGGAGGACGATTCTTCAGTATCTCTGCAGGGAGTTCTATGGATGCTTCCACTTCCTCCAAGGGGATCTCAACATCGGAACCTTGGTAAACACCAATGTCGTCATCGGCCAGGGAATCGCTGTCGTTTCCCCCAGAAATAGCCCCAAACCCGACCCCGTTGCTGAGTAACTCGGGGTCGAAATTCATTGCCACGACAGCGACGCTGGTCGTGATCTCGCTGACGTTCTTTCCTGCCGCGAGGACGTTGGAGATCTGCCTCTCCAAGGCTTGGACAACGCGGGAGGAGGAGTTGGCCACCCTTGACGTGTCGTTGAAGTTCTTGGTATCAACCTGAAGGAGGTTGTTGACCACCTTGACAACACTCGCTGTCACCTGCAAAACAGTTACACAGATCTAGAATACAACTTTTTGTGGCGAAAGCTCGCTCGTCAGCTTGACAAACAAGCTTAAGGGTTGCACAAAAGGATGTTTATGTAGTATGCTTCGTGACTAAGAATGAACTACAATGTAAAGATATCCTTCGCAAGTACCTCGTACACAAAGTATTATCTTAAGCGAATGGAACAATTTAATCATTTTATATATCTTTATATTGGAGTCTCTTGTGTAGCTTACCTCTGGCGACGTGTCTTGAATGTTCACAATGTTATCCAGAATGTCAGCGGCAGAGGCTACTGAATTGTCATCGACTGAAGACGAGTCATTGGTCAATGTGGCGAGAAATTCAGCTGTTTGCTCCACATTATCTTGAGTTACCATACTGTTTATCTATAAAGTCAGTAAAAAGGTGGAGAAGAAAATAGAAAGAGATTATTAATTTGAGTTTGGGTTTAGGTTGAAATTTTTGTTCTGCAAACGGAGTCAGTTATCGGATCGGTCACAGGTAACAGTCATTTGGTTCATACACTTTAATAAACCCATTTAGTAGATCCAACTATACCAGTGAAATGACAACCAAGGACGATGGGAAAGACATTTTTTCTATATAAATATTACTCTGAGGTAAATTCACTCTTTGCAGAGAGAGAGACCATGCAAAATGAGCACTTCTTCTTTGACAAACAATGACTCACTAAAATTTCACTCAGTTTGATTGTCTTGGATGATGCAAGTCCCGCATGATTGGTGACAGTCAACGTGAGGAAGTAGTCAAAGTTGCCATCAGTGTTGGATGCATCTATGCGGATCCCGTAGTCCGCATCATAACAGTCGCCGATAGGGATACACAAGCACCTGTCAGCATCACAGTCCTCAACGTCCTGAGGGGAAGGGGGGGGGGGGGAGAAAAAAGCAAGATCTTTTTTATTGCAATGGGATCTTACTGAAGTATAAATGTTAGAAAATTGTTTATAAACCATTAGAGCATTTCGAAAGACACATACAAAGTAATTTTTTGTACCACGGATTTCTCTTACTGTAACGGAAAGAGTACTTTTCGAAAACATGACTTTGCGAAATCTTGAGACATTCTGTAAAAATGGAATGAAAATGAAATTGCCAGGAAGAATATGAGGAATTTGGGAAGGGCGAATTGTGAAAATATTTGAACATTTCAGGGTTTTTTTTAGAAATGAAAATGAAAAATTCTTTTCGGGGCAACGTCAATTGGGTGAGGGTCTCTGTAAATAAATAGGATCCAACATTTTTAATGTTCCTTTTCTTTTTTCAATTTCATATTGAAGATTTGATATTTTGCTTACTTTGTCGGCCCAGCTCACTCAATTTGGTACAATATCTCAGTTGCCTTACCGTATTGACTTTCTTAGACGGTACTGTCTGGCTGCCATGTTCCATCTCGGTGCCAGTGTGGTTGTCAAAGAGAAGCCACTCGATGGTCCTTACTCCGCTGTGAATGTCGTAAGTCCTCCATTCCACACTGATGATGAAAATATCATTGATGCTTTTTAATTACTTTATATGAAGAACACTGTCGGCCAAAACCATAGCCAAACTTGTGTCTAACATCAAAACCAGACCAGAGAGCAAAGACCGAACCCACTTGAAACGAAACAAAGTCAAGTTTAATTCGGTGCGGCTTTCACATACCTTATGGCCGCCAATTTTGGTACTGACAACAAGTCTTCAATGACTGGCGGAGATGAATCAGCGTGAACCAACACACTGTCTCTCACAAAGTGACCGGCTAGGTCCCTGGCCTCCACCCAGAACCGAATGGAATCGCCATCCACTAGGGTCAGGTTATAGTTGGCCTGTGTGTTTGTGCCTTCACTACTCCAGTTGTCCGAGTTGTCATCACTCACGTTGACGGGGTTCCTTCCACCACTGTGGTCGATGTCGTATAAGACGCGGAATTTGGTTACACCGAGGGCATTAGGGACGGCTGCACGGCCACGCTTCCCAAAGTGCTGATCATAATCTACGAGAAAAATGTCATAATACTTAAATACAAATCTATTTGTAAAAGCTATGTTAAGTGTGGTAGAATGTTTAAATTGAGTTACAAGTATAAGTGTGGTAGAATGTTTAGGCCTAAATACCAGCATAATACTGTATACTGATTCTGCTTTCTATTGAGACATTTTAGATGGGACATTTTATTGTGGTACACTACTTTTTTTTCGTGTATCCCAGCATTTTTTTTGGGGAAATTGCATTTTATTTTGCATATTTATCCTGGCTTTCTTTTTACCTGTTTTTACTTGTCCATCTTATTATGCAAATGTTTTACTCCAGTTGCATTTTAACTATTTTGCTCTTAGACTTTTTCTCTCGATTGATCTGGTATGCTCTAATTTCTTATCACTGTATTATTTTTTTGTGGGTGCTACTGAATATCCTTGTTTTTAATTTTTTTTAACAGTATTTTCGGTAATCTGTCTTTTGCGTATTTTTCTTTCTCCTGTGTTGGCTTATACTTGCCCTTCTTGTCCCCTTGTTTGTTTGTTCATAATTTGTTTGTTTGTCTATAAAAAAAATCTGGGTGGCGGATATTTTTTTTATAATGGATTTTTAATTTTTTTTTATTGATGTTATAGTAATTATCCAAACTATATAATAATGTTTTTTTTTGGTCTGACACATCTTTGATGACAGCTTTTACAAACTTTTGTCTAGACCGCATAATTTTTCTTTTTAAAATAGATTTTTAACTATTTTCCGAAGATATGGAATAAAATAATAATAAAATAAGTAACGAATTACTGAAATGCAAATTGTGCAGAACATAATTTGTGTACACGATTGTACGCAAACCATGCACTTTAGCCCCCAAAAGATTTTCAAACACAGATGAGAGTTTTGACTGTCGAGACTTCTTCTTTCGCAGAAAATTATCCCCTTTCAAAAACATCGTCATTACAAGACAGCAATTTATACACTATAATTATACAAACTCTAATCTGCGAAATTTTGTTTATCAATACACAATTTTAAAGTGTAAAACCTGGGAGAACTCAATGTACTAAACTCACCAGAATCAATGGTACCACCAACATAGGACCCAATGGGCTTCAACCATCCTTGGTTGAGATGACGTTCATTGACGAAATGCCCTGTCCAATCAAGCTGCACGGATGTCGCCCCTTTGCTGGGGTCTAGATTGGTCAACCACACGAAGTCGGTTTCTTCAGTCGCCGAGACCACGCACAGGGAGAAATTACTCTGAATGGTTATGTCGTCTGGATCGTCGTCAAAGAACACGAAGCGTCTGCTCTGTTTGACATTGCCGGCATTGTCGACAACACTGAGGACGACAGAATAAACGCCTGTAAGGAAGGAGAAGAAAGAGCATAGAGATCTTTAAATAATGTTTCATTCCACTGTATGATTCTGATTTAAAGATTATAAATATAAGAAGCCTCACTAAAAATATATTTATATATAGGCCTATAAATATATATATATATATTTTTACATCACTCTCTTATACGACGGATGACAAAAAAATCTAACGAAGTTTTCTTTTTTTTTTAAATTCAGTATCTGAAATTACCCAAGTATCACAAATCACACACTTACAGCGTGCGGTTTTAGCATTATATCTGCGAATGGGTAACTAATAATAACCTTTAACGTTTTCAGATAGAGAGATAGGCACATTCCACCAATGCTTTTATATTGTTCATTTTGAATATACATTCGCCAAACCTAACCTACCAGGATGAGGCAAAGTGACATTTTGACCGGATCGTGCTACTCCGGAATAAGCGGCGGGACTGTCAAAAATTTCTGTCAGCTTGTTACCATGGCTACCAGACAGCTGTCGCACTTGAAGTTCGTATTCTTTTATGCCAGCGAGATCGTCTGTCCAGCCTTGCCAAGATACAGAGATTCGTTCCTATCAAGAAAATCAAGTTAAATTTTTTTAGATACACAGTCATGGGAAAAACACTAGGTATCTTATTAAACTCAAACAGGGCATAGTATTCCTTGTATTCAGCATGGTGATAACAAATTTTACCATTGGGAATACATTACCTTGTTGACGTCTACATAATACAATGGCCAACAATACAGAGTGTTAAAAACACAAACAAAAACCAAAACCCGCAACCTCATACTTCCAAAATCCAGGGACCTAAACCATTGATTTGTATGGCTGGGAAATTTTGTTAGAAGGAAAATGATACCAAGAACTCCTGATTCAGTTCAGTAGTTTTGATTCCAGCGTCACTTTTGTGAAGCAAAGTCAGGGGTTATTTGGTTTATTTTGTTCACTGTGTGCGATAATCCTAATTAGAGCACCTGACTATGGTTCACAAAAATGGCACTGGAATCAAACCCACTGGACCGAATCGGGAGTTCTTGGTATCATTTTCCTTACAACTAAATTTCTTATCCATATTATATCAATAGTGTAGGTCTCTGCAGTAGTGGAAGTATGAGGTGTTTTCTTTTACCACCATGTATATTATAGTGCCAACTATTATACTCCGGCTCAAATAAGCAGTTTACATATGTTTAATATGGTTGCTAGAATGCATCAAATGAACACCGATTGTTAGGCAAAGCCAAACCTGGAGACCTCGACTATTTATTTATTTATTTATTTATTTATTATCGGGCAAACAAGATAAAAATATTAAAAACAAACAGGCCCGAGGATTTCCCAAAAGCGAAACATATTATTAAAAAAACAGGAATAAAATTACATGGATATAAAAAAAAAACCAGAACCCCAAAGACCGAAATCATGTTGCGGCCACCCTGACTTCATCTAACCCAAATCAACTCAACCAAAAACGAGGCCGGAAGGAAAAACAGACCGGTTCCCCCCTGCACAAAAAACATGAACTCAGCATCATCACTGGACACAGGGAACACGACCGAAATGGTGGCAGCATGACAAAGGTCTATATTACAGTCGTAGACAAACCTTATTACTTATTTAAAAAAAAAAAAAAAGCCTGGATTAACCTCTCTCCATCGATCAACATTGTGTTCTACATCCATCACCGAACAAGCTACACGAGAATCTAACCTGTGTGGTAACATCATTCTGTGTATCCAGCATGGTCCTACGGCATGCTCTGCCATCAGCCACACAGTGGTAAGGGTCTACAAAGTCAAAGGTGAAATTTGAAGAGGCAGTGGTTGTCCTGCCACTGAAGTAGCGTGTGATGATTCTGCTTAAATGGTCCCTGTCATAGAGTTTCATGTAGCCGCCACTTGTTGAAGATGCATCATATCTCACTCTGTACAAGAAAGATAAATATGAATTCAGAAAGATAACTCCTTGCAACTCATCATTGAGACTGGTTTAGGTGACGAAAAATCTTCCAACACATACCCCTTGCTCTATACAATGTCCCAAAGCCATTGTTTGGAAATTAAATTGACAAAAGTAGGTTTAGACCTACACATCTCCTGTAGCTGGTGTCCAGGCGTTGTAATTCAAATTGATAGTGAAATCACAGGATACCAGGTTTGTAGCAGGATGGTTTCGATTGACAGGACTTCCCGCTGTCGATGTTGTACAATGCCGCAAGCTCATAACACTCTGACCCCCTAGTGTATGGGGAACAATAAATATCTTTTTTTAAGAGCCCAATTAGGTTGAAAATGCTTTTGATTATTGGACGGTATTTTCATTAAAATTGTTATTTAAATATTGTTGTGTACATGAAACAGAAATGATACACAGTCCCTTTTTTGCGCTTGTACACATCGTGGACATGTATGTCGCCAATTATTTTGTACTTGACTAACATCCCCAGCCCTCAAATTGCTTTCCAATTGGCTGTTGTCATGTATTATTGTCAAATTATTTCATCTTTTATAAAATTTAAAAGGACATGTATTTTAACTTACGATTCACATAGGCTGTGACTAATGCCCCAACAATACCAAACCTAATGCTTTGGATGTATGGATGTCCACCGCCACTAGGGTCTGGTAGACCAGTAGGCTGGTAAGAACTTGTCCAGTTGATCCTCAATCCCACAAAGTCTCGTGCGTTGGTGTAGACAGTGTCTGTAAGGGATTCTTGAGTTGTCGTCCCATTGATCAGGGTGGCATGGTGCTCGGATATGACTGGTGCTTGACTGATACCCACTAAAGTCGCAAATCAATTCAAACACAATGTCAGGATGGGTACTCTTTCGTGTTTACTTAAAAAAGACGACAATGTAGAATGAAAGCAAAACGTAATCAGGGTCGCAGTGTTTTCAACTTTATCAATGAGTCCAGGAGTCAGATCTCTCTGGTCTAGGTTGCTGTGTTATCCTTAATCATAATCGTTTCTAAAACTATGGATTTTCTGGTCATATTTTGGTAAAGTTGGACACACTATTTGACACAATATGTTTTTGATAGTATTGTCATTGAGGATGTCAATGTAAAAAAAAAAGTGTTATATGATCTGAATTGTGAAAAGTAAGCGAAATATCTAGTTTGATTTTAGGGCAGAGGGCGGTATAGGGAATTAGGGTAGAGTTTTTGGTCGGTCTTTGTTGGTCCAGACCAGTAATTAGGCCTAAAATTGCCTACGCCGACCAAATCACGATTTGCATGCCTTCAAATTCTTCAGTATTAGAGCATTTTGTGGGCCATGAACTTGAGGGTTTGTTAAACAAGAAGGGTTGGAAGCAGTGTACAGGATTGTGAGCTTGCGATTCTGTGAAATTTAAATGAAATTGGGCACCAAAAGCGCTATATTTTGCAATGGTGCGGAGGCATCGTTTTCAAAATGGCGTTGGGCTTCAGGACTATTTTTTAGTCCTGAATAGACATTTCGGATGCACATTTCTCCCAAAAATCGAATCCCCCCCCCAAAAAAAATGGAACAGAATATGAAAGATTATGAAATGAGCTTTAATTTGGAGTGTGTCTTGAACAGCTTGGATAGTTGTGAGTATTTTTAATTATTTTGGGAAGTGCGCGTTATTACCACTTAGGTCAGTGGCAGTCTATTTACTGGTCTGGAACTTTGTCAGCTACAATACAACAGTGTAGGATTATCAACCCGGATGGGCATATCAAGATCGAGCAGTTAATCCTTTCAAACATAAATATACATGAACAGGCACATGCTGTAAATGTAAGTAAGTTGAAAATGAACAGAGTTCATAATACAATATAAGAATAATAAAGTTTGCTAAAGAAGCCATCTTGGATTTTCATTGAAATAAACTGAAATTTGATATGACTTTCAAACTTTAAAAGCAGTAAACACACTACAAACTCACTTGTTCTGCAGTCAGTGCCTGAGAATCCACTGCTGCATGTGCACTGGGAATTTGTGCAGGATCCTGGGTAGCAGGCATTGCTGTCACTCCTCCATGAACATTGCTCTGAAATAAGAGGCACAAATTTGCACATCAGAGCTAGTAAACTGCGAACTATTAATGTCTTTAACTGAAAATAAATTCAAAACGAAAATGCAACGCTACAAAGGAATTGTTATTTTTTTACCAACATATTTTTTTGGTACAGAAAAGAAAAATAACCAGCAGCAGCAGCAGTCGATGGGGAAAGAGGATGATAATAAGGTTGAATTTGAGAAAGATGTTCAGGTTGAGGTTTAGGATGAGGATAAGGTTACGGATGAGGATGACGTTACGGATGAGGATGAGGTTGAGGTTGAGGATGAGGTTTAGGATGAGGATGATCAGGAGATTAAGGATGAGGTTGAGGATGAGGTTTAGGATGAGGTTGAGGATGTAAAGAGGTTTAAGTTGAGGATGGTAAAGAGGTTTAAGATGAGGAATAGATTGGGATAAGGTTTAGGATGAGGATAAAGTTTAGGATGGGGATGAAGAGGTTGAGAATGAGGATGAGGTTGAGAAAGAGGTCCGGGATAAGGTTAAGGATGAAAATGAGGGTGAATATGAGGCTGAGGATGAAGTTGAGGGTGAGGTTTAGGGTGAGGTTCAGGATGAGATTTAGGATGAAAGTGATGATGTAGTTTAAGATGGGAACTTACTAATGCATCGTCTCATATCAGCACTCTTCTTGTACGCTGATCCCAGCGCTGACCCATAATCACCATCACATCGATCACATCTCTGGTCCGAGGAAGTGCTACAGAATACCTCAGGGCAGTTCGCGATGGTTGCACACCCTACAAGAAGTAGATACAGTTTTTATTTAGTCACCACTCGACGACTCCGTAATATAATTGAAGTTAAGTCAAGGTACCCGCTGTTATGTACATCAGATTCGAACCAGCCAACCGATCCCGTAAGCTCGGTGGTCAAGTGGTATTAAAGACGTCTGCACTAGAATGCAGGAGGACATGGGTTCGAGTCCCACCCGAGTCATTTTTCCCAACTTTCACTCGGGAGGTATTTTTTTTTCTCACTCGGGAGGTATAACACACTGAGTACACTGAGAGTACAGTGTTCATACGTCGGTGAAGGGAAAAACCTATTGATTTAAGTCAACGTGCTATTACGAAACAGGATTGTGTTTAACTTCAGTTTGAATTTCTCGGCCGAGGAACTCATTGACATATCTCTCAAAAGTCACTTGATAGCAATAGTCCAAAAAGGTCTTCTACATTATTATAAATAAACTAGCTTTTATACACCCTCTCAAAATTCAAATTTTGAATCACTTTGTTCGGTCCCATCAATGGCTGTGTCCTTCGCGACATCAGTCTGAGTTACTGTTCTTCAATAGTCAAAATGATGTCATGTCATAAAAAGCTTTTTAATGACCACTCACGATCGCATCGTGGAGAGAAGAAGCCTCGGTTACAGGTGCTGCAGTGGTCAGGACTTGTGCAATCCCCTCCGTTGGGACACGAGTCAGTGTTGCCAAAACAGATGGCTAAGAACCAACAATAAGCGTATAGAAAACAATGAGTTTTATTATGTTCGGTGGAAACTCATTTCATGACGCATGCGACTTGTAGAAGAGCATACCATCCAGATTATGTTAACAACTCATACGATACAAAATAGGGGTTTCTTAACTTGTAAATTGAGGATTCAATTAACTTACGGGTTGAGCAATCAGTTGATGTACTTCCGGTCCATCCTGGGCAACACTGGTGGCAGGTTGTATACCTGTACAAATAAATGAAATGCTTGTATCTAAGACAACACACTTTTTGTGATTTACCAGTACGTTTTATTGGCTGTCATTATATGCTTTTAGCATCATCCTGTCAATACAAAAATAAGTTACTTTTGAATGAAACATCAAACGAAACTATAAGAGGGTTGAAAAGAGGTGGTTTTGTCGGGTGAACGGAAACGTTCGAATTGAAAGTACGTTGAGAAAATGAATCGAATTTATTGCACGGCACGAGGATATAATAGACTTAAATTTACTACATTTTCTGAATGTATGTACCGTGGATTGGATGTGGAGAGGGAGGTTGTGGACTGGGGGAGGGAGACTGGGAGAGGGTATGCTTATTGTGACGTGTCCCAACCATTTTGGCCGGGATTGTAGGTCACAATACAAGTACTCTTAAAAAACCTTTTTTCAATTAATTGTTTTTTAAATTAGTTTTTGTTATTATCAATTAATTAAAAAAAGTAAGCCAGAATACGTCTTGTCCAACTTCACTTTGTCTACCCCAAAATATAAGTCAAATTACCTTTACTTTTCACCGCCAATTTTCGACATTTTGGTGTTGAATAATTATTTCTTGCTGCCAGACATAATTCGGCTCTCGCAGGCGGGTTGAAATTCATTGTTCAGAGAGTTGAGGCGCCCAAAATTGGAATAAAGTTTTGTTTTCGTTAAAAGAAAACATTCGTTACTAGAAGAAAAAAACCCACGTTTTTTTAGGAGCACTGAGTACACATATTTAATGCTTCAGACAGGAAGTGTTTACTTCAGCATACAAAAAAATGTACATGACCAAAGTGAGCTCACAATTAACAATACGGAAAGATTTCCATACACGTATGTCACGTTTCAGTCAATTTTCAAGCCCAAAAAAGTTACTTTCTGTGGTTCTTTCATCTATTTTCCCTCCTCGACTCTCACTCTCTACCCTCCTCCAATCCCCTTTATTTACCAGTTACTTACTTCACCAGGATTCGAACCTGGAGTCTTGTTATTAAATCACTCCAGCCTTATCCGCTACACTAGTCGAACGACAGATTGATGTATTTAAAATATAAATCAAAAATTTAATAAACTAAATATTCATGACAAATTAAATATTCATGATGACATATTGCACTATCATTGGGTATGGGTATAGTGCGTTGTCGATGTCACGTCACGCGCACCGCATACATCAATAACCAATGCTGCCGAGCTGATGTGTACATCCAAAGTGTGCTGTAAAAACACATTTCCCCGAAAATGTCTTCACATTGCCAGAGCTTCCTGGATTCATCTTAGGTGAAATCACAAGGTGAGGTGAACATTAATGTGTTTGGTGGCAGATAACTGACGTGAGTGTATGGAATTCTTTCCAAGAAGACAAGAGTGTTGTAATTAAGGCCGAATCGTTTGCCGTATTGAACTTGAAGGTAGCCTATACACACAAAAGTACAGCTGGGTGAAGCTGAAAGAAATTATTTTAAACTTGAATATTGTATCATTCTCACACTGCTTTGTTTGAATATGAGAGTGATATATTGCCGAAAATGGTGATGATAGGCTATATGGAAAACGCGTGTACTTGTTTAGGCCTAGGAACAGCACTCAGAACATTTGGAAAGTGTAGATGAAACAAACCTGTATCTAGTACATCTCAAAACCAACCAGCATGCTGTAGTGTAACGTTGCGTGCAGCTATATGAACACACCGTGGCACTAGAAAATTGGGGGTTTGATAAAAAAAATGTAACTTTCAGTTTAAAGAGAAATCAAGCATTTTCTTCTAGATTGGTGTGACTAACTTCACTGTGATACGCAGGTTGTTATGCTTTATTGGAAACGACTGAACTATTATACCGACGTAATTTGCTACTTAATAGTGCAGTCAACATAAGCTTTTTTTGTTGGCAACAGGAGTTCGATTTGTTCTTTTGTCGGCAACAGGGAAAGACATTGAAAAATTGAAATAGGTTCGAGGAGGGGGGAGGGGGTCTAAACTCTGACTGTGGGTTGCGCTGTTCTCGGAGACTAATTATTTATGCGAAAAAAATATACATAATAATTTAGGCTCGAATTGCGTTCCTTTACAAGAGTACATGCTCATTTTGGTGTTTTCTTTTTCAAAGTTCAAGTTGGAAAATGTTGACAAATGCGACGCTGTTTTAATGATAAACGCGTATTTATGTTTGGACGTACAATGTATAGGTCTACTGTACTATATACATGGTGTTTAAAAAATGTCATCCTATTTTAAAGCATTTGTATGGCCAGACAATACGTTGACCAGCAAAAAAGCATGGTGTTATCTTACAGCACCACATCTTCAAGACAATGGAGCTCAACGCTGCATGATCCTGGAAGGTCAACCAAGGTAACAGTGAAAAGCACGTAGCTTCTGCTTTAAGATTATATCATGTTTGTTGTTGGTAAACGTATGGCCTGGCCATATAGCTTTTTTTGGCTACAGGCCGCTACAGGCAATAGTCATTTGAGAGTTATTACGTTTAATGTTGAGAGACTACGACATAATACTATTCGGAACTTCGAACCGACTGCATAAATGTAGCTCAGTAATGATATTGAAAATCGATGAACAGATGAGCATTCATTTGTACACTTGTATATTAAAAAATGAGAAAGAAACACTCACTGTGACGGTGGTAAATTAATTGCAATGAGGATTGCAATCCAACAAAATAACAACATTGTGTCCGTTCGAAGCCTCAAATTCAAGCCAAACCTGTAAAAGAAATTGTGTTTTTGATAATAGACTTTAAACAAGCCGGAGTTGTCGGATCGGATGTGCGACGGTCAGTGTTAATGTACATAGTCATCACTGCCCATAAACGCCCGCACCGATATCACCGCTATGGCAATTTATCTCGTGGCTATCAGCATTAAAACATAAGTATGAAATACATAGTACAGATCAGTGTGGGAGTCCAATTTCTACATCCTGTGACGAGGATATACCACTTCTAAGGATATACTTCTGCCAAAGTTTGCTAAAAAAAGCCACCATCCGTTGATGTGTCGTACCCGTTAAGTTTGTACAAAGCCCCTGTCGAATATTCAGGAACGCGTGAAAGCTTTTCGTTTACTGTAATCAAAGCCATCCACCAATCACGGAGACTCTCTAAATGCTGTCCAAGGCTGGTTTAATTTGTTTACTTTTTTCTTTCATTGAAAGCATTACCAGTGAAAGTAAACTTGCATTTACTCGTACAAATGCACTTGTTTACTCGTGTATTTGCACACAGTCTGGGAATCAAATTTTAGAAATAAAACCTTCGAGACTATGCAATCAAGCTAAATGAGTCGTTTGTGGGGAATTTTCATGTGGAGATACAGGCCAAAATGGGGCCACTTCATCACATCACTGTATCACATCTCTTGATGCTACGACTTCCATAATTTTTTTAACAAGATGGTATCAGCATGCAGTTTTTACAACAATAACGGTGAGATTGTGCTCTTTTCAAATCTGTAATAAAAATATGACCATGCAGGGTCGACAAACGACTCATGGTAGCTTGATTGCATCAAATTATTCCCATGAACTAGTTTAACGAATGAAGGGGAAAAAAGCTATTTAAGGCAAAACAAACGCCTTAATTTTATTGATTTATAACAAATGAATAGATCACGATATACAACTCACCTCGCAATGAGCGAGTGCTGTGTTCCTTCAGCACAGTGCTGCAACTCTCTGGCGAGTTTTGGCCCCCGCACAGGTCTTTGTTGAGTTGGCAAAATAAATATGACTAGTTTCTGTATGTTTTTTTGTTGTTCAGGGATCAACGTCAACCCAGTGTTCCTGAACCCGTGTGCTTCGGGTAAACCTTCCGCAATTTCCAGCATAAAGACATGTATAGTGACGCACATGAGTTATTATGTGGCGTACCTAGAAATTGTCATGTGATGGAATGGGGGAGGAGTTTAATACTGCAGAAAGATTTATGTTCCGACCGTATTTGAAAATTCGGAGGGAGTGCGTGGGAGGGCACCATGCACTTGACACTCAGACCCTGTTCATGAAATAAACCAAAATGTAGGCCTATTGTAATATTTTATACCCTTCCAGCAGTTTTACTGTCACGGTTATACTTTACTTTATATCCAATTATTTGCCTCGGGTGACTTCTGTTCTTGTTTTCCCATGCACTCCCTATTAGTTCAGGTCGAGGCCAATTAATTACGAATTTGGTCCATTTTGTTCACTATAAAGTTTCATCGTTACTCTCTAAATTCGGAAGAGTGAAATTAGGGACTGGACGTTTTGGAATGAAAATCACTCTCATATTCGATTGAAATAGTCTGAAAAAAAAGAACGACTTCAGTCTAAGCTCGAGTGAAAACTCGATCTTAACGATTGAACAAATTTCACTCTAAAACGTTTAGTCCCTAGTTTCCGACTGTGGGAGTGAATCTTCACTCGAACGGAGTGAATTTTCATCATCTTTTAAATTTAGAGCGTAAAATAAGTTTTTGGAGCAGTCAATTCATGGAACCATTCAAAGTGGTCTAAGTAAACAGCGAAATTGAGCCATAAACGATTCGTGATGATAATTCTTCAACATTGCAAAGAACATAAAATTGGATTGATATTTAAATTCCCTTGATTTATTTCTGACGATTTTGTTGAGAAGAATAGCTTCATATATATGCCTAGCCCGATTCGGCCACTTTTCAGTGTTCACAAACCGAGAATCGCATTAATGGCAGTAGAGCTATATTGTTTAGAATAACCGTCATTGCCGGGT